CTGGCTTATGCTGTTGCTTACCAGAGCCCCACTGCTGCAGGGTTATTCCCCTCCCCAAGTCTGTCCGAATTCTACAATCTCAGATGTTAGCCTCCGTGAAACTTCTCTCTGAACTCCCCCCTTGGATCTCTTAGTACCTTTCTCCTAATACGGTATTTATTTTTAAACACTGAATCAGTTATTTTAGACACAGGTATGTTTATCTCTACGGGGTTTGAAACAATCTATACTTGCTTCATTTGGATATCCCCGAAACATCTAGTACAGTGTTACAGAAGAAATGTCCAATGGATTAATGACTGCTGTAACAATATATTCTAAGGCCAAGAATGATAAACTCACTGCCATCTAGTTGATTTTGACTCATAGTGGCCCTATATAAGGTTTATGGGGGTTGTGAATCTTCATGGGAGCAGAAAGGCTCATCTTTTTCCTGAGGAGCAGTTGGTAGGTTTAAAATGCTGACCTTGCAGTTAGCAATCCAGTGCTTACCTGTAATACTACGATCAGGGCCCTTGAAAGCCTGGGGTAGTATATGTACAGATGTGAAAAATGTACTTGTGGAAAAATGTGGCCTGAAAGAATGAGTTTTTAGAGGAACAAGTCACTTGTCCTTGGTCAAATTGCTATTACTGTTATCTAACAGCTTCCTGAAAATCAACTACCATTTATTTCAATATCTTTCTCCTTATCCTCTTTTTCTTAAAAGCTGTGTTAGATTAAAAGATATTCATGATGTGAGGATAAAACATATAATATTTTTATGATTTTTAAAATCAGTACTCTTATTTATAAAAGAACTTAATTTTTTTTATTTCTTTTTACTTTTAAATGCTGAACACCATGCAGAATCCCTTAATTCAGTATAGCCTCTTACTGAGTGTCCACTATGAACAGCAGTGAACAACGCAGAATCTTATCCTTTTGGGCATTTATTCTTGCTCTGTTTTAGAATATCATGGTAAGTTTCTGAAAAAATTAAACTAAATCAGGGTAGGTTTTTAGCAACTTTAGCAAAAATGAAACCTATTTTTCCTTCCATTTAACTTTTATTCACAAGTTGCTAAACTCAACTATACAAAATAAACAAACAAAAAACCCCACACTGGCATATTTAATATCTATGGGTTAAATAATAACCACTTGTGAAATCTCCTGCTTTTTTGTTTGTTTGTTTTGTGCACAATACAAGCCATTTAGTATTGATTATCTGTTGTTCTGACTAGTTTACCAACCAACTCCCCTTGGGCATTGTTTAATTTTAAGTGTCAGGTTGTGCAATATAGGACATACCAAATTTTGTTTTTGAAAACATTTCATTATCAAAATTTCCACACAGTTCTATGAAAATTTTGTGGTTATTTAAAAAGTCTTCACCATTAAATAAAAAGACTCAGTTTAAGAATATGCCTGGTTTAATGTACATTTCTCTTAGTACAGTAGGATAGTAAAATCTCAGGAAACTTACTTTAAAACTTTTGGGATTGTGTGTGTGTGTGTGTGTGTGTGCGCGCGCGCGCGCACTTGTGTGTATTCTTTAAAATGGTGAGACTTTGCTTTCTGAGATGCTGTTAAACTGCATGGTGGGCAGTAATCTGAGTTTGAGGAGGAGAATAATAATGTTTTCATCCCTGAGAGAAAATGTTTTGAGAATGATGTACAAATGAGCTTTACACAATTGATGTGTGTATGGATTGCGATAACAGTTGTATGAGCCCCTAATAAAATGTTGTAAAAAAAAAATAATAATGTTTTCATCCCATACTAGGAAGCCTTTCAGTTTATTTCTTTAGAACAGTGACGCTATGTCTGTAAGAAAAGTATAGCTAGCAGCCATACCAACTGGGATATCTCAGAAAAAGAGTGTTGGGTGATTGCCAGCACTGCGTGATCACCAAACAGTGCTTTGTTAGGCGGAGTGATGGAGGTGGTTTGGTTCTGGATATGGATTTGGTTCTTGAATGCTGAGTCATGATCATGTTGGCAGAAAGAAGGACGTGTACAGAAACCTTAGCTGTTCTGTTTTGTTATACTGATCATTTGCCTTAGCTTTCATTTATTTTAGCAGAGTGGTGATTATTACACTAAGTACTTTTTTTGTTACTATGTGCTTTACCTTTTAAATGTTGTGGTAAGTTGTTGTTTTGTATTTTATTTTGCTTAGCCGTGTGTCTGAGTAGTTTCATTATTGTCAATTGAACTCTGTTGAGGCATTTTAGGGTTTATTCTTAAACCCTAAACTTTTTAAAAGAATGTGCTTGCCAAAACACTTAAAATTTTGAAAAATATTTATAACCTGCAAAATCTCTGAATATTTTACACATTAGGCTTGTGAAATTGAATTGTAAAAGAAGGGTATACCTGTGAAAGGACAAAAGACATTAATGTATAAAGTTTATTTTAAAAATTAAGAATCCTTGTTTCAGATGGTCCCCTTTCCTACTCCCATGGTATTTTATTCCAGGTGTGTGTGTGTGTGTGTGTGTGTGTGTGTGTGTGTGAAGTAACTTTTAAAATGCAACTCTGTGTTCCTGCTTATCTAGCATAAGGGAAGCGTTCAATAATGTTAATTGACTTAAGTCTGGTGTTTGTTTTGTTCCTTTAGTTTGCTCCTGAGTTCAGATCCTGTAAATTCATGCTTTACATTGGATGTTATCTTAAAAGTTATTTGCTGCATTTCTGAATCCTCGGGCAGTCTTAATATATTATGCCTTTAGTGACATCTTCAAAATGCGAGTTACATCCATTATAGAGTCGATGATTATAAAATTTATTGTACAAATATGGATGCTTTTGAGAGACTGTTTCCAGTAGTTTTGCTGGGATGACAAGCACAATCAGGGATTTTCCCAAGCAAATTAGGATATTTGAATTTTTTTATTGTTGTAAATCTATATATATGTGTGTGTGATGTAACATTTGCCAGTTCTACATTTAATATAGCGATATCAATTACATTAATCATGTTATGCAAACATCACCCATAATTGTTATGCCTTTTAGTTTGATAATAACGTTATATCACTTATTGAATAATTTGAGAGAGTCATTTGGAAAGATAAGCCATCAAAAGGTTTAAATAAAGGAAAAAGATACAAATCATAAGCCTTTATTGTTGATTTTTTTGAGTAAACAAGTCATTGTATAGAAGCAATGTTTTGTTCTTTAAATCAAAAGATTACATAACAGTGTAGGTATCAGCTGAAAAATAAATAATTGTGCTAAGAACTAGAATCAAAGTTCACGTGAATTTTGACACTGTTGTCTGTACCTAATTCCTGTTTGGCAAAGTAGCAAATTTCTTTCACAAATAAATGTGAGCAAATCAAATTTTTAAAAAAACAAATTTAAATTAATATGCATAAATTATTTTTTATTAATTTCAAGGTGAAAGCAATTCTGTTTTATCAAGGAACAAGTGGGTGTTCAAATACCAGATTTTTTGTTTTGTTGTTTATGAAAGAAAAGAAAAGCTATTTTGTTACCAAGGTAATAAAACTGTTCTTTTTGTGGCTAAGGTTACCCAACACTCTCTGAATATCTCATAGTGGACTATTTTTTTTTTAGCTGTTTTTCAGTTTCTTTGATTTATTGTTATTCTTTTAAAAATTACTTTTTTTTCTTCAGCGCTCATTCACTGTTTGTTTTCCCTTTGTAGAGGCATGTTAGGCCCCGAGGATACAGTGAAACCCCCTGGCTATCTAAGGTTCCAAGTTAGACAGGGAGGGTAAACCACCAACCAGTGTGTTACTTTCCATGACAGGATTTCATCTAGCCAGTCTCTTGACTGGCGTTTATTCTTTTATCCACCTCATAGATGAGAAAATAGAAATGGATAATAGGGTAACCTGGTCACATCACCCAGATAATTAAGTTGCAGGTCCAGAATTTTAAAATTCATGCGTCTGATAGAAAACTTGTCTTCATTTTCACACTGTCAAGCTCCTTCAGATGTTTTTGGCTTCCTTTTTAGGGCCCTTATCCAGGACTTCTTTCAACTACTATTGTAACTAAATAGAAAAGTACAGTTGATTTGAAATCAGACTGGGTTGTAATCTCAACTAGAAATAAACCCAAGTAAATGGGGTTACTTTCTGTGTACCTTACTTATGTTGTTGTGATGGGGCAGTGAACTACCCTGTAGTGACTAGCAGCGTACTTAATAATCTGAACATGTATTTTAACGCATGTTGTGCTTCCCTGGGATTAAAAGGACTCACTCGAAGCTCCAGAAAAAGACCTTGCCTTTTAGGACATTTGTGGCATACATAACAGTTTTTGGTAAAATAGCATGTAGCTACCATGCTGACAAAAAAGGACCTAATTTGGGGTGGGGTGGGGTGGGGCTAATTGGTGAGTGCCTTAGCTTTGTCATTAAGTGTAAAAATACCTTCTTGAAGGTATAGTGGAGGAAAGGGTTTAGTAGTTTTATGGGTATTTTTGAAATGATAATCCTTAGTCCAGTTGATTATTTAAGATTAAGAATCAAGAGAAATTCATACCCTCACAACCTCCCTGTACCAACCACTAAATCCTGTTCTTCCCTTGGCTGACATGGAGAAACCACTAGGACAAGAGAGGTTAGAAAAGATTTCCACATTTTCATTAGTCCAGGAAATCACACACATATACAACTCACATCGTGGCCTGCTCTTAATACTTGAAGTTTTCTGAATATATCTTTTCCTTATTAGCCCAACTTTAAGTCATTTGGGAAGGAGATAAAATGGTGTCATTACTCTAAGAACTTGAATTTGCTAAATTTAAATTTCTAAAGAACAGAAAGATCATACCTTTTTTTTTTTTTTGGCATAGCGCGGCCCCGCACCTCCCCTTTTTAAAAGCCTGCTAACTTGCACATGTACTTGCTTTTCCTTTATATAGTTATTTTTGCGTGTGTTTTGTGTCCCCTCCCTCTTATTATTCCTTTACTTTATGATTGATGTCAGACTCACAGCATGGTAACTTTCTATTCTCTCTTTTCCTTACCTTTATGGAAGATCAGTACTACACTTGCTTTTTTCCAGTCTTCTGGTATCTCTCCAGTTCTTGAATTTTCAAAAATAATTGTAAGTGATTCAATTGTAAGTATGCCCTCTATTTCTTTCATTAGATGAAAACTTATCTGTGATGCATGTCATCTCAAATTGCTAATTGTGAGCATCAGCTCTCCAGACACATTTATATTTTACCAAAAGTGACTTTTCTGCAAAGTTCTCATTACTTTAATTACAAGGCATGTGCTATGAAAAATTTTTTCTTTTTATCATCGACTTTTGTCAGATTCATGCCATTTATTTTTCATTATGAGGTTTCCTTTCTTTGATATTTGTCCTTTGTTAAAACCTTCAACTGTTATTTTCTTGTACAGTTCTGTTGCTAATTCACTTTTTTCTTATTCTGAGCTTAGCATAAAAGAGTTACATGAAATAATTAATTTCTGTCACATTACCTTGACCTGCATAAAGAAGCACTGAGTTACAGGCTACATATGTAGTCCTTTAAAGTTTTTAATGTGAAATAAAATTTTATATGAAAGCATTTGTGATTATTTTGACAATGTTATTTATTACACAGCCATAGCCTTTTCCAGTGTACATTATTCTAAAATTTTTAAGTCATCATACATTTATTAATTTCCTGATTCTGATCTCCAGAAGACCGTAATCACCTCTGACAACTTTCCCTCCACCATGACTCATCTTCTATCAGCAGAAATTTCCTTACATGTTCTTACTGCCTCAAACATTGCTCCCTGTATCTCTCAATGTACTTTTGACTGTTTTAAGAATTTTCTTTGTAATATTCTTCTTTTTAATGGGGTGCAACATTGTGTTTATACATAAAGTATAAATAGTGACTTTCCCTATCTAAAGTCAGTAATAGGAATTAATTTAGTTGTTATCATTTGTTAGCTTTGAAGCACCTTCTAGAAGAGAAAAGCGGTACTACTTAGAGTACTTCAAATATGGTAAGAAGTCCCTAGTACAGTTTTGAGGCAATTGGATATTTTCTACCAGTCTACATATTGTTTTATAAATCCCCCGTACAATGGGCCAGATGCATTTATCTAGACATATCCATATTTTAAGCTAGATACTGTATATACACATGTATAAGCCAAGTTTTTCAGCACATTTTTAATGCAGTTTTTGTGGTAAAATTAGGTGCCTTGGCTGATATTCGAGTTGGCATATACTCAAGTATATATGATACATAGAACGTAGCAGTTATGGACTTGTATACTTTTTAGTTGTATGCATCTACTTTAGCTTTCTTGAGTGGCAAAATATTCTTAAAAACTTGACTATTTTAGCATATGTCACATAAGGTGATATTTTGCTTTACATAGCTACCAAATTTTATAATATTGGTTGCATTATAATATTCTTATTTTATCTGCTATTTCACAGACTGCTTTATCCTGTTATTCTATTATTTCTCTACCACAGTTGTGTTTATGCTTTACATGAATCCCTACAGCAATCATCCAGTGTAATTAGTGTTATGACTCATCGGCGAACATAGTAAATTAGGGTAGCAGCCTCTTTGCCTCCAAGTGAAAAATGCAGTTTTTGTGGTAATCACTTTAGTTGCTATTGAAGGACATGGGCAACAAAGGAAGAGGAAAAAAGGGCATAAAGAGAGTGAGGGAATAGTTGGAAAGAGATAGAAAACAAAACAGAAAGACAAGACACAAAGGGAGAGGTTTTGGGAAAGACCTGTTATCATGCACCAACAATTGCCATGATACAAATACCAGTGCCTCCTGTGCGCTGAGCTAGCCCTGAGGGCGTAATGATCAATTAGTGATGCAGTTCCCGCCTCCCTGGAATTTTCAGTACTTCAGAGAAGTCAGCCAATTCAATAATTAAGATAAAGTGCTATAAATGTCAGGGGAAGTAAAGCATGGGTAAATGCATAGCTGCCGCCCTCTTAGCCTACTTGTTCTTAAGGGTAAGGTGTCATTGTAAGAGGTATGAAGTCAAGCATCTTAAAGGCTCTGCTTTCTCCTCTCAGGTCCTTTCAAAGGAAGTCAAGCCTATTTTTATGATGTTTTAAAATAAAACTTTTAAGCACATTCATATGACTATGTAGTGCCTTTATATTCTGACTGGTAAACAGAAAGAGGAATTATTATGGCTTTATGGAAATTTCTTTAAAATAGTATATTGGAAAGGAATGAGTACCTCATCACTTGAGATATTCAGGGAATGATTAAATGACTTTTAAAGGTGTAGTAGTAGCTACTTTTGTGAGTTTGGTAAATTGGCCTCAGTGACTTTGTTTCCATGTAAGTCGCAGTAGATGAGTATAGCAAAACTTACCTAAAAGCTATACTTTATGGTATTTTCTCCTACTACAGGGTTTACAAAAGTGGGCAATACCTAGGGCAGGGGACTCTGGACTACAGAAACAAATAACTACACTTTCTTCTGGATTATAGGCTGCAATACAAAAGTATTTATTGTTAGGGGATGCTGAGCAATTTTTTTTTTTAAATGAAAGGGAGCAGTAGGCCAAATAAATTTGGGAACCTATGCCCTAGTACAGAAGCCCTGTGGTGTAGTGGGTGTTTATTGGGCTGCAAACTGAAAGGTCAGTATATCGAAACCACCAGCTTGCTCCTCAGAGAAATATGAGGCTTTCTACGCCCATCAACAGTTAACAGCCTTGGAAACCCACAGGGGCAGTTGTACTCTGTCCTATAGGGAGCCAAGAAGAGATCTAAACACTACAATTAGATAAGTTAACCTGACAGATATTTACAGAGCTTTTCATCCAGATACCAAAAAATTCACATTCTTCTCAAGCCCACCTGGCACATATTCTAAGATAGACCACATGCTGTGGCATAAGGCAAATCTACATAAATTTAAGCACACTGATATCATACCGACCTCTCTCTCTCTGATCACTGTGCCATATGGCTGTAAATCAACAAAAGAAAGATGAAGAAAATGAGCAAACAATTGGAGGATGAATAACTATCGCAAAAGGAACACAAACTGGCCCAGATCAGAGTTGAAATTAGGAAATTTCTAGAAACCAATGAGAATGAGAACACGACGTACCAAAACTTAGGCACACAGCAAAGGCAGTTAGAGGAAGTTTCATAGCAATACATGCACACCTGAAAAAGGAAGAGAGACTCATGATTGATATGCTGGCACAAAATTTACAACAACTAGAGCAGAGTCAGGACAATTCTTTTTTTGTTGTTGTTAATTTTTTTTAAAGTTATTTTATTGGGGGCTCGTACAATTCTCATCCCAATCCATACATACATCCATTGTGTCAAGCACGTATGTACATTCGCTGCCCTCATCCTCAAAACATTTGCCCTCCACCTCAGCCCTTAATATCAGTTGCTCATTTTCTTTCTTTCTCCCTCCCTACCCCTCTCCCTCATGAACCCTTCATAATTCACAACTTATTATAGTTTTGTCATAAGTTACACTGTCTGACGTCTCCCCCCGCCCTCTTCTCTGCTGTCCCTCCCCAGGGAGGAGGCTATACCTAGATTCATGTAATCGGTTCCCCGTCAGCAGGACAATTCTAATAGCAAAAGAAAAGAAATAACAGTCAGAGCTGAGATTCAGGAGAGGGAAAATAAGAAAACTATGGGGAAAAATGCTGCTAACAGTGGTTCTTTGAAAGGATAAACAGAATCTATAAAGACCGCTGGCAAATCTAACCAAAGAAAGGAGGGAACAAATTTCAATAGCAAGAATGAGGGATGAAAAGAGGGGACATTAAAATAAGGTAGCCATGGATCATAATCTACTTGATGGCAGTGAGTGTGGTTTTTGACTTGGTCTTAGGGGAAGAAACTGTCTAAAAACTGTTGACTACTTAATTTTTATTGATAAATTTGTTAATGCTGTATTGTTGATTGCACCTGAACAATTATACATTTCAATTCTAAGTACACTAAAGATTTGTGGATTACTGTGCAAGACATTAAATTAGGTCAACTGCTGGGATTTTAAGTTATTATAATATTCCTAATGTACTTCAAACTAAAGAAAGGTGGATTGATGAGTAGATCTCTGACAGATGCAGTGAAGGGTGTCATAAAAGACTATTTAAAGGCAGATCTAGAAAAAAGCAATGGTATATTCATATGATGCAGCAACATTGAAGTGTTGCTTTTTGACGTTAATTTTGGTGGGTTTCATATCCCAGTAATTTAAATTTGATTCCCATTATTCCTGGAAGCTTTTAAATTGGATCAACTTAGTAAAAGAGATATTAATTAGATTGATTAATTAGATTCAAAGAGGGGAGATACTAAAAGATAATTTTGCCCCATTCAGATTCTTCACCTTTTAGAAAAATATCAGAATTTTGCATACATTATTTATTGTGGTTTTTCTTTTAAGCATTGTTTTTATACATAGTATCTCTCACTCGGAATGACTTTCAGTACTCACTTTATGAATTCTCTTTACATAGGTGTAAAATTATAACAAACAAATCCTAAGAAGCTCTATCTAGCGTTATCACCTTTGAATTTTTGCTTGGGGTGAAGAGGAATTGCAAGATATAAGTTGATTTCTCACTTGCACCTCATAGAACTTAGGTTTTTAAGATTTGGATTCAGAATTTGAGTTTTAGAAGAAATAACAATAATGATTGATAATATCAGGAATAGTCTCTACTAGAAGTATAGTGACTATAGTACTAATAATGGCAGGTAAGAAAGGAAAGAATCTTAGAGACCTATTGCTTGTCTTGCTCCTGGTCATACAGCTTGTTAGTGGCTGAGCTGCAATCTGTAACTCAGTGTGTGCTAGCTAACCTTCGTTGTTTTCATAATATCATCCAATCTCCATTTGGTGTTTTGAGATACTGGAAGTGAAAGTGTTTTTCACAGTGATTAAAAAGTGTTGCAAATCTAAAGTGAAGATATAAAATATTTGGCTTTAATTTACTTAAATGGAGAATGTGAAATTGATGAGCTTACTCTGCCTTGTGAGATACGGTTAGTGAAGGTCACAGTGAAGGGAGGATGTTGAACCACTCTGGGTCCAGCCTGTGATGTGTGGGTCCTGACTATTCTGCTCAATTGCAAGACAACTGAAAAAACTCCTCTGTTCTTCAGCTACTTTGCTGTTTACATCCAGGATGTTTGCTTTTGAGTCAGAGATAGTTAAAAACGAAATCATTTCTTTTGAACAAAATTCAAACAGGAATTTTGTGTTCTTGAAGCTTAAAATTTTAAGTTACAAAAAAAGTAGTATATGTAAACACTGGACTGCTAAACAGGAAATAGGGATCCTTTAAATAAATACATGAACATTCGCACCATGTCCAGATGTTCAAGCCAAGCGTTTGAGAGTCAGTGGAGAAATTGATAGAGAAGTGCTGGCACTTTCCCCATGAAAAGAAGTAGGAAGTTCAAAGTCCCCAATGGGGTAGTGGGTTACATGTTGGCATGCCAACCACAGGGACAGTAGTTTGAAACCACCAGCTGTTCCTCAGGAGAAAGATGAAGCTTTTTTTACTTTGTAAAGAGTTCACAGTTGCAGAAACCCACAGGGGCAGATCAAATCCATATAGGGTTTGATCTGAGTCAGAATTGACTTGATTTTTCCCCATTCCCACCCTCCATTTTTCTTTGCCTTCAAGGCCGGAGGGAGGAAAACTTTAACAGACGAGCATGCTAAGAGAACAGGCCAACATACTGAGACCCTAAAGTTGGGATTTAAAGGGCCTGGAAGAATGAGTTAAAAAAATGTAGAGATAAAGCAGGAAGGAATCCTGAGTGTTTTGTATGTATTCTTTTGGGTAAATTATCCCTGTTGTTCTGGAGGTGCTTGGCAGCCTCTGATTGATGAAAAGGAAGTAGTGCTAGAAGTTGAGCCAGGAAATTTGTGGAGAATTTAGATAGCCTAAAATAGACCTTTTGGGGGTTGGGGTTTTTTTTCTTTGTTTTTTTTGCATGCAAATGTTGCTTTCACTTTACAGCTTGAAATATCTATCTGTACAGGGATTTTGTGTACCCTTAACTGTTTGCTCTACACTGTGAGATTAGTTGCATCTTTTTTCTTTTTACCTAGGGTTTAGATCCGGGATTTGTTCCTAGTGTCCAAGACTTTGATAAGAAACTTACAGAGGCTGATGCTTATCTACAAATTTTGATAGAACAATTAAAGGTATGGCAGATTACTTTATATATTGGATTGTTATCAAGAGTAATAAATAATGTTACTTAGCTTGATTTTGAGCAAAAATAGTTGCTTGATATTAATGTGAAAATACATATAAATCATCTCTGGAATACATGTATTTAAGAACAAGTTTTTTTTTCATTGTTAATGCATATCTGTAGTCATGTATCTCACTGTTAACTTTTTTTATTCTGTAGCTTTTTGATGACAAACTTCAAAATTGCAAGGATGATGAACAGAGAAAGGTAACTTATGTAATCATGGCTTTGGGATTTGTTTTTGTTTTTTTAATAATTCAAGAGCCCTTTGGAGAAACAACAAAGATTTTAGTGTTTTGACTGATCTATTATAATCCTACTGCTCTCTGGACCTCACTGAGAGTTTTCTGGTAGATTTCTGTTTCAAAGGGTAATATACAAAGTTTTCACTTACTGCCCTTTGTAGTTTAAACTACCAAGTTTATTAAATTTATTTATAACCTTTTCAGATACTAATAAACCCATTGTCAAGAATATTCAGAATAAACATAGTAAGTAGCCACCGATAAGGAATCAAAAATAAATAATTGCTTTTAAATAGTCCTCCTCAGCTAGCTATTACATAGTTTAAGCACTGCCTTTAAATTTAAAAATAAAATTTTTTTATTCAGCTCATTGTTTTCCTCCTTAAGAAGATGCTAAAATATAAAATTCACCATTCTCAGGCCTATTCAAACCCATAGTGACCACCCTACCCACAGTGTTCAAGGCTTTGTAATTCTGTACACGAGCAGACAGCCTCAGCTTTCTGCTGCGTGACCGAGGAGTAACATTGCAGTTACCGATCCAGCACTTAGGTGACAGTGAATGCCACTGGGGTTCCTTTGCTAAAATGTCAGCATTTTAAAAATCATAGTGTGATGTTTATAGAGAGATGTAATTTTTCTTCAAGTAAAACATAAGAGGTTTTAATTCTTACAAATCTTGAATCACATGAATTTGCCAAAGAAGGGTTAATCTATAAAATGTCTGGAATTATAATTTTTTTATTTAACAGGTAATGAAATTAACTAAAATCACCTCCCATTCCAACTTGCATACGTTTACATATATTTTGGCAAAATTCTTTAAAAGACTTACCAGTTAGAAGCAAAGATAGCCTTTTGTGCTTCTAATTATTTTTGCTTAAACTCATTTCTTACAGAAAATTGAAACCCTCAAAGAGACAACAAATGTAAGTTACGTGCTTACCAAACTCTGGCTTTGCATTGAGAAAGGCTTTAAAATATTGTTTCTTTTGAAGCTGCTGCTATTAACATGAGCTGTTGAAATTTTAATTATCTTGCATTTTTTTCCTAAAGTGTTTTAAGAACTGTGTTATTTTCCAAAGAAATTTAAACAAAATAATCCCTTTAATTGGCAGAAATTGACTTAATGTACGTACTATTTTACCTTTTTGTGCTCTTGACTGAGATCCTTGGATAAAAGATGTCATCCTTGTACAAAGTATATATTCTTTCTTATTAGACAGTGATTCAAGTTTCCTGCTGTACTGCCCTTCTGACTGTATGTTTTGGGCTGCTCATGAGATTTGTATTTTGGTAAAAATATTTGAAAATGGAAAACATTTTCAGGCCTACATATAATTTGCCAGGGTCATTTCCATTCTTTTACTTCCATGTTTGGAGTAATTTTATCACAAATTTATACTGTGGTTGCTGCCATCGAGACAAGAATTTGGAAGCCAGACTCCCAAGCCTTTTTGTGTAAAGTGTTGAAAAACAATTCTGATGTTACTCTGTGTAAAATAAGTACTGTTTTGTCATTCTTTAACATTTCATAGAATTACTAATGAATAACTCTGGCCATCTTACCCAGTATAAACTTAAACCTTGTACTTTGTAACTTTTATATTTTAAGCTTTAACATCATATCTTGTGGGAAAAGATTCTAATGAGTGTTTTGGTTTTGTAGAGCATGGTAGAATCAATCAAACACTGCATTGTATTGCTGCAGATTGCTAAAGTAAGTAACTTTACTTTTTATTTCACTTAATGGATTTGAACATTTAAAAAATTCAGTTCTGAAGTGTATGATGTTTCCCTAATAATCGGTATTGTGGGGTTTCTGGTACAAGTGAACAAGTATTAGATTTAGCTGGGATCTTCCCTGTGTGTGTCTGGTTTCGGCAAGAGCATTTCCAGCGGTGGTTGGGAAAGAAGTGAACCTAGGTGTTGGAGTGGCTTGCCCTTTCCTTCTATTTTATCATTTTCAGTGCTGCTTGAAACAGACACATTTTATAAACACTCATAATAAAAAAATTATCTCCAATCTAAAGAATCTAAGTTTTGGTAGCATTCTTTTATTTATCTCTAAGTAAATACACAATGGAGATGCTTTTAAATGTTTTCTTTGATGCAGTTTTTTCTAATGCTGAACTACTTTAATGAAGTACTTAAATATCTGTTCTTATTTTTTAAATAAGATATTTTAAAATTTGAGTTTTAAAAATGTGTGGGTATTAGCTTTCTGAGAAATTTTATTTTTGTTAACTTAAATGTACAATTTGCTTCCTGAAGTTTTGCGACAGACTTAAAAGTTATTTTTCATTATTTCTGCCTTGACTGTACATCTGTATTTGTAGCTAGTCACTAGATGGCTGTGGGTGAACAGTTTAGCATCCAAGACTGAAAATTCTGCTTGTTTGGATTTTTAGTTACCACCTCATTTTACTTAATCAGTTGCATGTATTTGTTTGCCCCATAATAGATGACTTTTTTTACCTAGCGTATTAAGGATGTAATGGGATAGGGTGATGCATCTGAGTTAGTCAAAAAGCACAAGCGAAAGGAGCTGATATTGCAGTCACTGTTGATCCTTATCATCAGAGGTCTTCCTTTGATTGTCACCCTTCTACCTTACCAAGCAGGATTCCCTTTTCCTGGGACAGGTCTCCTGATAACCTGAGCAAACTACGCGAGGCAAAGTGTTGCCATCCTTTGGATGCTGTCTGGTTGTACTTCTTCCAAGACAGGTTCATTTTATTTTGGAAGTCCATGCTACTTTCAGTACTCTTCACTAGCACCGTAATTCAAATACATTGATTCTTTGATCTTTCATATTCAGTGTCCAACTTTCACAAGGATATGAAGCTATTAGAAATAGCACGGCTTAGGTCAGTCACACTTTAGTCATCAAGGTAACATCCTTGCTTCTAAGGAGCTTTCTGGCTATCCTTCCTCCAAGACAGACTTGTTGATTGGAAGTTCATGGTGTATTAGTGTTCTTCCTGAGACTGTAACCTGAACCACTGGTTCTTCTCTGGTCTGCCTTATGTATTGTTCAGCTTTCACATAAGACATCATAGTTTGGGTCCAGGTGCATCTTGGCCCTCAAATTCTAAATATTTTGAATACAATCTAAATATTTTAAATTAGAAAATTCTAAAGATCTTTGAATATAAAAAGAATATAACTGATATATTTGAAGGTAAGCCAAACCTGCAGCTGTCATGGTAACTATAGGACGGTAGTCTTGCAGCGTAAGGTTTCAGGGCTATAGATCTTTATGGAGATAGAGTCAACTTTGCTTGAAGAATGGTGAGTTTGAACTGCTGTCTTTGCTATTCGCAGCCCACTTAGCTTACCATGCCACCAGGGCTCCTGGAATATAAAGTAATAAGGTAGTTTATGCTCATCTTACCATTGGAATGACTTTTGATTCAAATTAACTAATGCTAATTTCTAGAACTTTCTATAATTTAATCTCTACCTACTACCTCTTTATTTTAGTCTAGTTTAATAGACATTTCAACATTCTTCAGAATAGGCAACTCCATCCATTGCCATCGAGTTGATTCTGACTTATAGTGACCGTTTAGGACAGGCAAGAACTTTCCTGTGGGTTTCCAAGACTAACTTGTATGGACATAGAAAGCCGCCTCTTTCTCCCTGAATTACTGAGCTTTCCTATTGGCAACCCACCGCGCCACCATCACTCCTGGTTACTACGCAGGCGAGGTAAATGGATTTGGCTTTTTATGTTTTTCCGGGGGGAAATTTTATTTATATGTGAATGGAACTCTCAAATTATGTGTGTACCCTGAACTAGAGTCCTGTTGTCACCATGATTAAAGCACATAACTGCAAGGTCAAACACATGAGTGGTTTCTGTGAACTTAATTTAAGTGTAAATCTTACCATGCCACTTGCCTGTTCAGTTCCTCTTCATCAGTGTTTCCCAAGGTGGGTAATACTGCTGACCAGAGAGGGTGTGGTTCTGGAAAGATGGGGTGCTGGGAAAGCAGGTACCTTTATTTTATCTAGGATGTGGGCTTATGGTACCAAAGATTTTAATTGACAGGGGTGGGGGATTTTTGAATTTGTTTACTTGTTTGTTTCTGAAAAGGAGGCCATAGATCAAACAATTTTGGGAACCTATTCTTGTAATGGTCCTTTCAATGCACTTGGTATGAAATATAAAGATTTACATCAATTGAGAATCTCTGCTCTTGCCTAATCTAGTTAGTCTCAAATAGGCCCTGTCTTTTTATGCTTCAGGATTTCTACCTGGTTTTCCCTCTCCTGGAAGGAAGGCATTTTCCACTCTCATTTGACTTAAATTTCTGCCCACAGACTATCTCTTTGAAGAAACTTTTTCGCTACCACCACTCCATCCTTGTCCCCCTTTCTCCTATGGCCTTATATTACTAGCCTAATGTATATATTTGTTTATTACCTGTGTACTCTTTATATGTATTCTCCTTGAGACTTTGTCTTATTTACCATTGTATCCTCAGTGCCTAAAATAATTGCCTGCTATATAGTGGATACCTGATAAATAGTGAATTTTTTAGTGCATTTTTTTATACATACGTTTTAATGGTTTCGTGGTTTAACATTTATATGTATGTTTTTTAAAATTCTGCCATCTCCGTAATAACTTGGAGTGTGATGTAATGAACATCCCAGTAAATGAATCTTTAAGAAATCACAGTTAATCTGTGATTAAGATAATGAAGAGAGGACAGCATAATCTTTGAAGAGCAGGAGCTCGGAACCAGGTTGCCTAGGTTTGAATCCAAGCGCTACCACTTGAGCAAGTGTCTGTGTCCTGTCTGGTCCTTGGTTCCATCCTATATAGAATGGGGAAAATAGTAGTACCTGCTTTGTACTGAGTTATCATGTTAGCATGCGCTTAGTACTATGTGTATAATAAAACCTAAGTACATATTTGTTGGATTGAAAAAAATTGGGGAGGATCTAAAGTTGAAAGCAACAACTTCACATGTTGTTGATATTAGTGCAGGCCACTATAAGTCTGAATCTACTGGATGACAGCGATTTTGGTTATTTGGGAGGTGAGGAAGGAGGATTAGTTCAATCATTACAAAGTGAGGGCAAATTTACATAACCTTAAAGGGGAAGTAGGAGCTAGTTGCCTGTAAGCTTGGGATTTAACTGCGTTCCCATGATTAGTGGCTGCTGCACTACACAGGTGGGTCTTCATTATCCTTTCAGAACTCTTGAGTTATCTGGCCATAGGCACACAGATCCCCAATTCTCTTTCCAAGACAAGTGTTATGTGCAGACTTTAAAATGGTCTCTTGATTGGGGTTTTTTAGGTGTACATTTACAGAGAGAGGCAGGTAGTCACCACCATAATCTAATTTTAGAGCTTTTTGAACCCCTGCTAAACCACCAGGTACCCACAGAGCCCTCACGTTCCTGTTCCTCCTCTCGCCCCCTTCAGCCTCTGGCAACTACTGATTTGCTGTCCGTGTCTAGATTTTTCTATGCAGAGGAATGAGTCATACAAAAAAGATAGTTCTGTGTGGCTAGTTTTCTTTTTTTACTGAGAAGAATGTTTTCCAGATTAGTTCATGGTGAGCCATGTATTCAGTCATCCTTTTATTGGTTCAGTCTTTGGGTGTACACATATTTATCCATTCCGCCATTAATGAGTATTTAGGTTGTTTTTACATTTGGGCTTTTAGAACTCCTGCTGCTATGAACTGTGGCGCGCATTGTTTTTGTGTAGACATTTTCCCCCTTTTATCTTGGGGTTTGTATTCCTTCCTGGGTCACGTGGCCACTCTAGGTTTAACTATGAGAACTGCCAAACTCTTTTCCATGGTGACTGCACCATTTGAAAGTCCTGTCTACAAATGTGAAAGTTCAAGATTCTTTGCATAAATTCACCGGTACTTGTGATCGAGTATCTTTTTGATTATAGCCATTCTGGAAGTAGAGTGGGTCTTTAAATATAGTTTTTACTTGAATTTCCATAATGATTATGTTGAATATCTTTTTATGTGCATATTAAGATTTTAAATATCTTCAGAGAAATATGTATGCACATCCTTTGCCCATATTTTATTTGAATTAAGCTTTTTATTATTGCATTATAAGAGTTCTTTATATAATAAGCTTCAAAAAAGATCATGGAAAAATAGAGTCAGAGATATTAGATGTTTTCCACAAACTTTCTGATGAAGCCCCTTGGTGTAGTCTGGATACAAGCCACAAATCTCATATAGAATTTGGAAATTCCTTCAGGTTTGTGGATTGATTGTTTTCGTTTCTTAGTGTGCTGTCTTTGAAGCCCAAAGCTTTTGTTTGGGTGGAATCCAGCTTACAAATTTTTCATTATTTTGCTATTAGTGAAATCATTGTTGTGCTACACATCACAAAAACATACTCCTGTGTTTTCTTCTACAATTTTTGTTAAATTAAAAAACAAACAAACCACGGTATGGGATAAGTCTACTTTTTTTTAGTTGGGGAAAGCATCCAATTTCTTTCTCAACCTCGAGATTATCCCAGGCTCATTTATTGTCACACCAGGCTTGAATTAGAAATTTTCCTTCCTTGCTGCATGTATTTATTTTTGGATGATATCATTTGAAAGTGGCTGGGTATATAGCAGAAAACTCACTGCACGCTAGCCTCTGGAGCTGCAGCAGTGGGCTCAGCAGACTGAGAATGGCCCCGGGCAGGCAGTTGCCTTCTGCTCTCTGTGGAGTTGCTGTGAATTGGAACCAGCTTAATGGAACCTAACAACAATAGTATGCCTCGTGATAACGTGAGGATCTATTGTTTTGTATTTTATTGATTGTGGGAGTGTGGTTGAGGCTAGCCGTTTTTTAATCTAAATTTTATTTTGTTGTTGAGAATATTCACACACTAATTTAAGGTCCTACTTGTACAATTCAGTGTTGTGGGTTACATTCTTCAAGTGTGTGTGCAACCTCTCTCGCTGTTTTTGTCTGTGTTCCTTCCTTAGTAATCCGAACACAGATTCCCGTGTAGTGTTCTCAGTGTTCTTCAGTTTGTTGCTAGTACTGTGTATACCGCTTCATTTCTGCTTGCGTCATTCACTCAGTGTGATTCCCTTCTGCCGGTCCTGCTCTGTTTCTGAGTTGCTCCTACCTCATGAATGCTGTTGAGTTGCTGCTGTCCCTGTGATCGATCCCATAACGATCTTACAGAGCAGCAGACCTTTTCTACTGGTTTTCTGCTGGTTTAAGGTGACTTCAAGGGACACTTTTGGCATACAGTTTAAAGATTATCTCGGAGTAATAGTTGCAGGGGCAACTATTCATCCTGCCTCCATGGCTCCAGAAAGTGTAGAGTTTATGAGAATTTGAAATTCTGTTCTGCATTTCCCCCCGTATTGATCAGGGTTCTTCTATGTAATGTTTACTGTTTGTTGGGCTGGGACTCCAAGCTGCTTCTCCATAAGGCCTTCCTCCAAGCTGTTTGTGTTTTCACACAGCTTGGTAGCTGGGTCTCAAGAGGAAGTACCCTAAGACCGTGGCAGAAGTACAATGGAGTGTGCCTAGAAAGGAAGCTGCTTAGAAACTTAGAGGCAAGCTTCTTAGCCTAGCACTTCCACGATTCCAGACTTCCGAAGGAAAGCAGGTAGGCAGGATGGCTGCAGTGTTTGCACAGGTTAGGCACAATGAGCTAGTCTTTTTCATTTCAGAAATCCAAGTTCCCAGGTGCCAGTCAAGGGCCAACCTTGTAAGCAGGTCTATTTAAGGACAGGAGTTTTCAGCCTCCTATGTTAACTCTAAGAAATGGTCTCTAAATTGTTTTAATTAACCCCTTCAATTTGTATAATTCTGAGTAATTCTGGCAGTTAAAGATACAATACATATAACTTTGGTATTGTATTTAAAACCAAAGATTGATTTGCACTCAAATGCAATAACCTCCCAATAGTATTTCTGTATAATGCTAAAAGAAAGATCCCTTCACCCATCAGTAGTAGTTGTTTACCTCTTTAGAGAATTGTCCCTTAAGGAATCAGTGACATAGATTAATAGTACCTGTCCACATGATTTTTCTTTTGCTTTGGAGTGCTTGTTTAATTTCTCCCTAATTCATATTAGGGGGAAAAAGGACCGGATGCAGCTACTTGCTATATCATGCTTCTGGGTTCTAGCTAATACCCAATTTATACTGGGCTGTTCCTGGGTGAAAGAGAAGCCTCACTGTACACATAGGGAAGTGGGGAGGAGAGGAAGTAAAGAGCTTGTGTGTGTGTGTGTGTGTGTGTGTGTGTGTATTCATCTGTCCTCTGAAGATAAACTTGCAGAAACCTACAGAGGTTGTTATGAGTAAGAATCGACTGATAATGGGGATTATGGCAGTGCACCCACTTTGTGGATTTTTCAGTAAAGCGAATGAATTAATATCTTTGAAATGTCTGTCAAGCATTGTTAGCTACTGTATCATCATTCCATCTAGATAGTGGTTGTGTTTACTGGAATGAGCACATGTTTAGAAAAACATTGATATAATTCTGCACTCAGTGGCTATGCGATTGTAATAACTTTAAAGTACAGTACGAGTTGGCATCGCTTACTGTAAAAGTCAAATGCAGAAGTATTGGGTCTTTAATACTAAATTAAGGAGTCATGCTGGTATAGTAGTTTAATCATTGGAACTGCTAACCCTAAGGTGGCCTAGTGGTTCAAACCCACCAGCTGCTCCTTGGAAAAAAAGTGAGGCTTCCAGTTCCTGTCAAGTTCATAGTCTCAGAAACCCTAAGGAGCACTTTTGTTCTGTCCTTTAAAGAGCCCTGGTGGCATAGTGGTTACACCTCGGGCTGCTATCTTGCAAGGTCGGCAGTTTGAAACTGCATCAGCTGCTCTGTGGGAGCAGGACACGGCTGTAAAGAGTTACAGTGTGGGAAACACAGGCTGTTCTGTTCTTCCCTGCTCTCTAGGACCAGTCCTCCTCAGAATCGACTCCTGACCCAATGGCCGTGAGTCAGGGTCAGTGCGCCAGAGTCTACTCCATGACCGTCTGTTAGGCGGTGCATAGTCCTAAATGAATATAAAACAATACTGTAAACTCTTTATGGAATAGAAGTCCTGTTTTTCTTCCTCGGAGAGACTGGTGATTTCAAACTGCTGACTTTGCACTTAGCAGCCCAAGCATAACCATCAGGGCTCCTTGTCTCTTTCTGTTTTAATCACTGGCAGCACCAGACAGTGAACATAATTTATATGCCTATCTAGAACTGATCATTTTTGGTGTTCATTGTTGCAAACCTATCTAATAATAATTGATTAGGAATGTTCAGTAGAATTAACAGCTTAGTGGAAGTGGAAAAGTAGTGTTCCAAAATCATTATTCACTAGTATAATGAGTACAATACGCTTTCTTTATAGGAAAGAAAGTACACTAGGAGTTCCTTAAATGAAAGAATGAAGTTAATATTTCTAACATTTTTCCTTAAGGACCAGTGTAATGCGGAGCAGCACGCAGATGGAATTATAGTAAGTTTCATCTAATCTCTGTTTCCCTGGACTTCTGCAGAGCGTTTAACCAGTCATGTCAGCAGAGGCCTGAGTTTCTACTCATTTTCAACGCAACTTCCTCTTTCCACTTGCTCACTGCTTATTGTTATTGACTGTTGCAATTTTCTTTTTGCTCAAGTGGCCATCTTTCAGCAATCACTTGGAAGGGAAATGACAGTCTTAAATTTTTTTCTAAGCGTTTGTCCCAATTAAATCACTTTGCATGTGTTAATTCGAAAGGTTAATCATGGTATAAAACTTCAGCTTTTGTGACTAAATCAGGCATAATTCACAACGCTACATTTCTTGGCAAGCTTTTTTCTCAGATGCAAGCAATGGGGCAAGGGCATAATACTGTAATGTATTTATATCTATTTAAATCTGTGTACAGTTTTTCCTCTTATTTCTTGATTTTGTTTATTATCAGCGCTCATTTGTGTGGTGTAACTCCATTTTTGTTGGAATGATTTACAGTGTGAATTCTTTCACTTCTATGGCCATTTGCTTATTTCCTCTTTCTTCCTCCATGGCATTTTTTATTTACCTTATAATCTTCCAGCTGGAAAGTTAGACTTTGAAGGTTCGGAATGGTGACTGTAGTTTTATAAGAACCGAAGGATTTATGCTTAGACTGAATTTCTCAAGTAGGAAGTGGCCTCCGTTTTCCCTGAGATGTTACTAATTCCTGCTAGCCTGAGACCTGGTCTAGGTCTTTAAAACCATGATGGGTAAGAAGTAGCACTGAATTATATACATGTAGGAAAAAATCTTCAGAACCATCTCATGATTATGCTTGAAAGAATGAGCATGTTGAAATGAAAAACAAATCTTTCTGGTTTGCATTACTATTAAGAAATGCATTTTAACATTTGAATTAAATACATTGGAATTTTCATTTTTCTGTTCAAAGAGAGTTCAAAATACAGTATAATACAAATATATGATATAGATATAATCTCTCTTTCCAGGCAGCATTGAAGTTTGTGTAAGCCTCACAGGGAAAGGATTGTATATGGTTTGTCTAGTTCCCACAGTCTCTTAAGGAAAACCCAAATGTTTTTTATCGTTTAGTGCAAATATCATTACATTATATTTAAAAATGGGTAATATTTTATAAATCATAAAAATATTTGAAAACGTCACAATCAGGGAATATCTAAACTTGTAGAAAACAAACATCCTTGAATTATTTGATCAGAAACTATAAGGTTTTCTGGCTGAAGAGCATTTATTTTAAAGAAAGAAGGAATTGTTCATGATAGACGCCCTCGACCAGCCTGCCTGGGTGTAACGGCCCTGCCATTCAACAGCTGTGGGCCCTTGGACAAATTACTGAACGTGAATCTCCTCATCTAGAAAAGAAAAGTGATTTGTTTTACCTCAGAGGTTGGTTGTAAAGAACAGAGCATCTAGTACTCAAAAAATAAGTGTTAGGTTTGCATACACATATATATTTACAATTATTACATGTTATACATGGCAATGTTGTATACTTGTAAATTTTATTTATTAATGTTATCCCAGTAGATTAGCCTCGAGGGTTATTATTTGCTTGTATTTCTCAGGCTCTGTACACTCTTTATAAGCAAAATTAATGTAATTTGACATATTTTATCCTGGTCATATGCCCGTGGACTGTAGACTGAGTGCAGAGTAAGGGCATGTTTTCTTTCTTCCTTTTTAAAAAATTAAATGCTTACATCTTATCTGCAAAACAAAAGATTTTGTCCAAAAATAGAATTCTAGTAACAGTGATTTTCCTTATATAAGATTTCATTCCTTTGGATCAAAGTATTTGTGGTGGGCGTTTGTGTTTTTCAAGCATTTGTACAACACAGACTTAGCTTTAAAAACAGCTCTGGGGCTTGCAGAGACACTGGTTCACTTATTACGGCTGCTCTGGCTTCTGGAGGTATAGTTTTTAAATTATCTTATTTAAGAATTTGAAAGCCCCGAGAGAGAAATTGAGGCCCATCTATAACAAGGGGCGGACCAAGGTCTTGATAGAGCAGAGTCAAAGAAATTGGGAATCTGAGTTCCAGTTTCTGTGCTCTTCCTAATGCTGCAAAGCCTGCCCTACTTCACATTACTAAGTTTTTGATTACTAGCATTTTCAGGGTGTATTTTCTAGTATCAATATTTAGGGTAGGCATCAATATTTAGTGACATGAATCAGAATTCTTGTGTTCGAATAGCTTAGTCTAAGAGATGTAATTTAATGACTTCAACATAGTATGTGAGGACGGTTATTTATTGTGTTTTAGGTGAAAGACTGTGTAGCAAATTAGATTCCTGTTTATCAGTTTTAAGCAGACTGTTCTGTGACATAGTTAACAGTTTCCACGGGTTGTCATCCCACCATCTCCATTCTGGGTTTCCATTGATCTGACTTCTGCTCTTCCTTGCCTTTGTTTTGGGGTAAATGTCGACCATTTGGTCTCAGAGTTGGTTATTTTAAGGAACACCACCTTATTCACGGGCATTGTTTCTTTTATAAACCAATCTGTTATTTGGCTGACAGATCTCCGGAAGTGGCTTTTGTGCCAATCTCTACATACAGCAGGAGTCCTCAAACTTTTCAAACAGGGTTCACTGTCCCTCAGACCCATTGGAGGGCCAGACTGTAGTTTAAAAAAAAACTAAACAAATTCCTATGCACACTGCACATATCTTATTTTGAAGTAAAAAAACATATGGGGCAAAAACACCCGGCGGGCCGCATGTGGCCCATGGGCCATCAATTGAGGATGCCTGCTCTACAGGTTTATTTTCTAACCTAGATGTTAGATGAGACTGTTACAAAAACTAACTTATCTCAGTTTTCATTGTAGGCACTTTCAGGATTATACAAATACATTCTGTCCTTCTTCATCAAGTATTTCCTTTGAAGCCAAGATAATGTGTTTTCTGCCATTAAACTCTACCACATATTTATCTGAAGCTTAGTGGTCCAGATCCATGAATAATTGAAGAATTCTTTTTAACTTTCCCCCCTATATTTATTTCATGGTTTATGTCCAGTTTAGTTTTGAAAGTGGCAAAACCTGTAGCTTAAAATCCTGCTGTTTCCTCCCCATCCCCACCCAATGAACCCCCGATGAAAAAAAGCATCATCAGGTTGTGAGCTCTAGTTTTTAAAGTGTCATCCATCAGAAAAATGTTGCCTTGTTATTAAAGAAATGTATGCACCCCTCCCCCCCAAAATTGTACATACACGTTTAGGATGTATATTTTTCATGTTCTAAATCTTCCAACAGAAGGTCTCCCACTCTCAATTAGGCAGTACATCTTTTACCTTTAGTGACCTTAAAACTGGGCGGTGGGCATAGCACAGTGCTGAAATAGGTATGAAAGTTAAGATCCTATTATGCAAGTACATTAGCTAGTTCTAGTCTAATGTTTATTAATACCAAATCAAGATAAAGCTTCTCCATGTTTGATAGACAGACCACGTGTGTGGTGAATTAAACATTTTGAGAAGCATTGCATTAGGCGAGAGATGATTTGATTAGGCTTCCTGAAGGCTCCCCACATCTTCTAAAAATTCCTTACAGGATTCCCATTCAGCTTTATCCTCTTTCATGATGGAGTTTCTATGTGATAGAGTTAAAAGAAAGTCTTAGACTTGTGTTTGAAAGGGTGTTTCATACCGTTTGCTTCTTGACCAACATACCTCTATAGCTGCTCTCAGGATTTTGCTGATAGAAATGTGAGCTTTTCATAGGTTTGGGAGTGTCAGCTTAAAAAAGACACTAATTAACAATAACCGTTCTGTGTTTCTTTATCTCAGAGTACTATCAATCCTGTAGATGCAATATATCAACCTAGTCCCTTGGAACCTGTGATAAGCACAATGCCTTCCCAGACGGTCTTACCTTCAGGTGTAGTATTTGTAAAAAATATTTCATAAGATCCATTGATGAGAAAAATTAATGTATATGGTTATCTTTGTAAGCCGGAAGAGGTCTTTTAATTTTTTTCCCTTTTAACAGGAACCATAAAATGTGTATGAGGGCAATCAAAGAGTATTGCTACAAAAAGTTTCCATCTGTATAACCTTTCCCCTCCCAGTGAATTCTGCCCTTTTGAAATTACACCCTGTCCAAATATGTTTTAACATCCTTGAGGAGAGACTCAAATTGTGTTCCTTTTAAGGTGCTTTGAGTTTTACAGGTGGAGGGCAAGAAGCCAGAAGGGATCAGCTCAGGTGGATGGGGTAAAGTTTCCCAGCGAAATTCTCTGAGGATAGAGCCCTGGCCACTCTCAAAGAATGAACAGGCACATTGTCACGAAGGAAAACTTCCTCAGCGCAGCTCTCTTGGCCATTTTCTCATTAATTCAACGTTCCATTTTCTGTGAAAATTCATAACAAGCTCCTTTGTTCATCCTGTGTCTTTGGAGAAAATCTATCAAGAAAAGCATTCACCATCACGTGAGCGACCTCTCCACTGTGAATTTAATGGGCTTAGAAGATCCCCTCCAAATCGCTGTTTTGATTAGACCCGTCCACCACCCCACCCCTTTTTTATGGCACTTTAGCCAGACTCCCCACAAGTTTGTTACTGAGAGAACTTGTTGGCAGCCAGTAACATGTCTAAACACTTTAATAAATAAATCAGCCCATGTGTGCATGAACTGGAATCCTTAGTAGCAATACTTTTTGTCCTGTAGTTAAAAATGAACTGACAAAAAGATAGGTGTTTTTTGGCATTGGTTTTCGAAATACTATCAAAGGAGTTTGCGTTTTCAAAATGAGGTAGAAGAGAAATATGGTTACTAAGATTTGAATTAATTGTGGGCCAAAAGGTTGTGAATTTGTGGCAATTGAGGAATAATTAATGTACCTTGGTCTACTTGAGTGTAATTAAGGAACTCATTATTTAAGATGTTCTTTATATCTCTAAATAATATAAGCGGTTTATTTATATTTAAGAGATAGGACAGAATGAAATGTGTGAATGCTCATTGACCAGGTGTGGAGACCCTGGATGGTACAAACATGCCTATCGCTAACCACAAGGAAGATTCAAGCCCAGCCAGAGGCCTTTTGGAAGAAAGACCTGGCAGTCTTATTCTGCAAAGTCAGTTACTGAACACGCTGTGTAGTCCCGCGCCGATATGACGGGCACGGGTGCCCTGAGTCGGGGATTCGCCCTGGCACCTGCTTTAGTGCTTACCCGCCCCCTGCTGTTCAGTCAGTTCCGCTTCTAGCAGCTCAGACAGGGCTTTCAAGATTTTAAGTCTTCCCTGAACCAGACCACTTTATCTTTTTCTCCCTTGGAGCAGCTGATAGGCTTGTGCTTAGCAGCCCAGTCCCTAACCCACCTCACCACCAGGGTAGGGCTTTTTATAGAGAGGGATGCATACTCTTTCAGCATTGGTAAAGATGGTTTAACACTCCACACAGTGGTTCCTTTTATCTTTTTATTTCAGCCTACATTTCCATGTTCTGAACGGTGAGGTAGTTAATGTAAAAAATTGTAATGTAAAAGAGCAAATATTTTCAATGAATAGTTAAAGTTTGTCTTTTAAAAAACTTTGTTTTTTTATGTCTTTAGAGTGAACTTAATCTTTCACAGGGGATCAAAGAGTCGGCATGTGCCTCATCTCACATTTTCTGTGATTGAGGTTGGGAAATATCATGCTGTCAGAAGCATTTGTTGGTTTTGTAGAGCTGTTGCTGGGCTGGTTGACCTTGGCTGGTCTCGGTGCCCTGCTTATGTTTTTTACACAGTCATCTGTAGCATATCATCACTGAGTTTTAAGAGGTCAGAGCAAGGAGTAGCATGGAACCTGCTTTAATGGAATATAGTTTCAGAAATTACTGATCTCTAGGATTTTGTGTCCCAACCAATCATAGCCAATATTGTATGCGTTCTCCTGTTTCTCTTAACATTTTTCACTTGTCCACATTTTCTAGAACCTGCTCAGTTGTGTAGTAAGTCAGAGCAGCGTCCATCCTCCCTACCAGTTGGACCTGTATTAGCTACTCTGGGACGCCATCAGACTCCAACGCCAAATAGTACAGGTATCAGATTTGTGTGATTCCTTTACTTCTCTTAATCCCCAACGAGCATTTGAGATTTATGATGGGGATATGTGTTGTATACTTTTGTTGCAAATATCTTAGTTTTATCATGATCCTTTGGCACAGGAAACAATAACTTTGTAAACCAGAAACTTTCATAATTAATCATAATTTGAATAAGACACAGCAGGTCTGAGGATTTTATTTACCTTTAAGATTTATTTTGGAAATCCATACTGACTTTTTGAAAGTTTATACAAGTCAGACTTTTATATATCTGGAGATCCAAAAAGTTCATGGAACAATTCCGTGAACTTTCAATTCCATTTTCTCATGAACTTTAAGCCCTTGTGGAAAAGGCAGACAATAGAGAAGCACACAGAATAAACGCTGAACGTCCTCTTCACTCGCCGTCCCCCTGTCATTTCTGTTCCCTCCATACCCACCTCTGTGCTGTGTATTTTTATTGTTGTTTTTACCTAAGTGAGATACGTTAGTTCCCATGTTGATACACTTGGCTGCAGGATTCTTTTGACTACGTGTTACTGGGAGCCCTGGTCGTGTCCTGGTTACACGTGGGTTTGCTAACCTGTACAGGGTCACCAGCTGCTTCATGGGAGGCAGAAGGAGCTTTGTACCCCCGTAAAACGTCAGTCTCAGAAACCCACAGGGGCAGTTCTACCTGGCCCTATTAGGTCACTGTGAGTTGGCATTGATTCATGGCAGTGAGTTTTTGTTTTGAGGCAATGCCTGTTTTGAATAGTTTTCTATTATAAGCAATGCTTTTGAAACAGGAGTACAGAAAGTTCCTGGGTTGCTGCTACCGAGACCCATTCCTAGCTGTGTCTTTAAGAATTTGTAGGTAAAACCAGATGCCTAGAGTTGTGTTTGCCTTCTTGGGTGGAAAAAAGGCCTGAAGCCTGGAGCAGCAGGTGAAGGTGATTGTGATTACGAATTTATTCCTTGTAGGGATTGGTTCACTCTTTTCAAAGTGAGGGCCAATTAACATAACACTTAAGAATGGCTTCAAAGATAGCTACTCCTCCACTCTAGGTTAGTGAAACCACTGTGCTTTGAATGTGTGTGGCTTTCCACAGCTTTACCAATAATCCAATCACCTGGTTCCTAAAAGCCTCACCAGGGCATTACTCTGTGATTTAACCCAAAATTTGGTTACTTGAAGGAATCACCCAGGTTGTAAAGGTTCTAGCCCCAGTTTAAAGCCCTGCATTAAAAGGCAAGTAGTTGTTGTCAGTAAAGTGGGGTTTGTAACCTGGAGACCAACTGTATTTCTTTAGGATAGATGTATGCCTCTTTTACTGATTTTCATAAAAACTGAGATGCTGCATCTTAATTTATTTGTAATTGTGTAAACAACTGCAAACCTGATGCTGTTGACTCTCCTTGCTAGCTTCATGGGGGAGGGTTGTACTACCCTATTGGATCCCAAGGCTGTATCTTGATAGAGGCACATGGCGATGTGTTTCGCATGCAAAGCAGCTGGTGGGTGTGAGCATGGAGTTTTCAAGGAGCAGTCAGGTGATAGAACCCGTGTGCCACCAGAGCCCTAACTGGCTTAGACTTGTGGTCTTTATTTTTTTTCTAATTTACAAGGATACACCATCAGTGTCAGGTATTAGATTTATTTCTTGTTTTAAAACTAATTATATTGATATTGAGTTACCTATACAGTGAAAAACCAGGGAGCAGGGGGAGCATCTTTGTCTGTCTTTGGGGACCAAAGTCAGAACTCTTCTTAGGGAGGAGGTAAGGGATAAACACCTATCACCCTAACCCCAACCTACACATCTGTCTTTCCTGAGTAGAGCTTATGTGTGTAGTCATGGAAAATCACCATGTGGTTTCAGCTAATAGCCCATTTTAAATTTTGAATTCGGAAAGATATTAATGTAGTCTTATTTTTGGTCTCTAATACTTAACAGTGTAAACAGGTTGTCTTAATTTGGAAAGAAAAAATCAATTGCTGTCTTGTTTGCAGTTCTGATAAAGTGCTGTTAAAGCAATTTAAATAATGAAGTGTAAATCTTGTGTGCAGTATAAAACCAGAGGCTTGTCATTGACGCTTAGTGGACCTACAATTGACTGCCCAACACTAGATTTCCGCATGATTTACATATAATCGAGAGCTTCCTTCTTAATTTAGGATAAATTCATCTTTAGCTATAGAATAAGGACAAAGGATTATTTCATTTACTTAAAAGGTGTCCCTGTTCATACCTGATTTGCACTTTGCTAAAGGTTCGGGTTTCTTTTCAGAGAAGAAACTTCTGTGTCTTCAGTAGATGTCTTCCCCTCTGTCACTGTCATTCGCCCCTAATGAAGAACCTTTTCACTTCTCAGGCAGCGGACACTCAGCACCCAGTAGCAGTCTCACTTCTCCCAGCCACGTCACCTTGTCTCCAAACACAGTCCCAGAGTTCTCGTACTCCAGCAGTGAGGACGAGTTCTATGATGCTGATGAATTCCATCAAAGTGGCTCCTCTCCAAAGCGCTTAATAGAGTAAGTAGATGAACCAAGTATGTATTTACATGACTCTCCTAGTTTTTAAAAGTGTAATTTGACTTCGAGACGGGTGTTAATGACAGGACTGCTCTAATAGCTGTTACTTTGGAGAGTAAAAAAGGACAACTTTGTTTTAATGGGCACATTGAGTCCGGTCAGCTCAGTGGAAGTATAACCCAAAGGGACTAGGTAGTGTCTTCTAGGATGTCATGTGCTGACCTCAGGCTCGTGCGCTACAGCACCAACCCTGGGAGCAGGCCCTGTGTGAGGTCAATAGCTGCGAAGCCACTGTAGTGACAAAGAGCTCGTCCCTATGCTGTTGTGGGAACAAACCTTTATAACGGACGCTAGAGTTAGGATAAGCACAGAAAGCTTTGGGAAGATTGTTAAGTGTTGAGAAGTTAGCGAAGCATCGTGGTTGCCTCAAAGCTAGACTCCTAAGGTGAGATGTGGATGAGTAGAGAGAGGAGGAACGGAGGGATATAGGGAAGGAAACCTATTTCAGAAGGAGAAAGGAGCTTGGACTTTTTCTTTTAAAGGTGAGGGGAAATACATGTAGTGTATCGTGACTGGCATGAGTTATGTTCGTTTAAAAAGAAATGAACTAAAAAAAACAGTGAAATCAAATGGGTTGACAAAAGACAGATCATTTAAAGGTCCTTTACTCTTTAAAAATTTTGAATTTACGAGTGATTTGCATTTGAGGATGAGATAGTTTTACTGAAAGCAAGGGCCTCACCAGTCACTCCATGGGAGAAAGCTACAGCAGTCTGCTTATGGAAGGATCTACAGCCTTGGAAATGCTCTGGGGCAGTTCTACTCTGTCGTACAGGTTTGCTGTGAATCAAAATTGACTTAAGAGAGGCAGTGTTTGTTTGTTTGTTTTCAGTATTTATTTTTTTTAATGTAGCATTAAGTGCCCCAAAAGCAAAAGCAAACACTACCATCGAGTTGATTCCAACTCACAGGGAGGGACCTTCGATAGGGTTTCTGAGACAGGAACTCTTTATGGAAACAACTCCTTCGTCCACAGCATTGAGTATAGTGAGCTAAAGTAGAGGTAGAAAGATGAGCCCAAACCTAGTAATATATTTAGAAAGTTGGTGAGCTGAAATCATAGCCTTGGGTTAGATAGAAATGCCAAACTGTAATTCAGATGCACAATTCTTGTGCATTCTTCCTTGTTCATGGTGCAACGTAAGTACTTCCATGAACTGAGAAATCTGGTGTTTGTATGTAATCACATCGGAACTACTTGAAGCCATTTATAAGGAAAATGACTGTTGGTTCATGGCTTTGTTTTTAGCAGAGCAAACTTCAAGGTCAATTTAACAGAAGGGATTTGGTTTAGCTCATTGGTTTCTTAATATAGTATGATGGGAAGTAAACTATTATGACATCATTATTAACAGTTCTCTAATAGACACTTTGTGTGGGCAGTTGTGTAATGAGTTACACACTGGGCTGCTAACCACAAGGCCAACAGTTCAAAACCAGTAGTAATTCTGTGGGAGAAAGATGAGGCTTTCTACTCCCATAAAGATTAACAGTCTGAGAAGCCCACAGGGCCAGCTCCACTCTGTCCTGTAGGGTTGCTATGAGTCGTAGCAGACTTAATGGCAGTGAGTTTGGATTTGGTTTTATTCGTGGACACATCCCATCTCCCACCCCAATACTTTTCACTGGCTGGTCCCTCCTGGATCGATCTTCCTCCAGCTTTTCCTATGGCTGGTGTCCTCCCACCAGGCAGGTCTCTGCTCAAATGTCATGTTCTCTGCTTGTGAGTTTGATGGTTGTAGTTGTTTTTAAGTGGAACAGTGAGCTCCCCAGCTGACCGTGGAGATGGCATAGAAGAACACGGTGGAGTTTTGTTCTGCTGTGTGTAGGTTCTTGACAACTGCTAACAATTACTTCAATTTTGAAAGTTTTTTTTCCCACTTAGGACTTCTAGTTCATTATGAACTTTTGTTTTTATTATTTTTTAAATTTCGTAATCAGTTTATTGGAGGCTCTTACAGATATTTTAACAACCCGTAATCAATTACATACATCAAGTGAACTTGTACAGCTGCTGCCAGCATTTCCAACAGTATCTTTCATCTTGAGCCCCTGTTATCAGCTCCTTTATACATCCTCCTTCCCCTCTCTACCCTCCTTGTAAACCCTTAATATATTATATGTTTATTTTCTTTAATACCTTACACTGTCTGTGTCCCTTTACCTACAATTCTGTTATTCGTCCCCCTCAAGGGGGGTTATGCAGCTATCATTACTATCAGCGCGCGCACACACACACACACACACCCCGCCTGTCCCATACCAAGTGCTGCGCCCCGAGTCAGGAGTCTATTTGGGGGATTCTGCATGGACGTCGTGACTTTGCTCCCATTGCTGATCTGTTATGCTCCCTTTTCACCCCATTGTGAGGAGGGGGTCAGACTAGACACACTGCCCACTTGGTGTCTCCAGTGTTGTCCTATGTAGTGTTTGGTGTTTTGTGAGAGTGGAATTAATGGCCTTTTTTTTTTTTTTAAACAGAATTAAGGGCAAGTTTCTATGCTAGACAGTACTATTATTCTGAACAAAGTACTATCATAAATAGCTTGCCAGGAAATTGACTACTTACTTTATCCTTCCTCTGAAAGTTATTTTAACTATATTCCGTGACAGCATGATAATAGTGCCTGGTACGTCTCTGTTAGTCTCTGGCTCCAGTTTCAGGGTTCTTCAAAAAATCCTGAAGAAGTAAATGCTTGTTTTTTTAATGCTTACCTTTTGTACCTACAGTGGGCTTGTCCACAGTTTTTCAGGCGACTCCCTTTTCCCGTTTCATGAAGCTCCTCTGAGCTTCAGTGCCTGCATTGTAGCAAATACACAGGTCACACACCTCCATTCAGTCAGAGGTAACCCATTTTATGTCCAGTTAGCCCCTCTGGGTTCCCTTTCTCCCGCAATCCCTCTTCCTTTCTGCACTGATCCGGTTCCCAAACTGGTAGGGGCTAAAGATGTTTTATGTGGTTAGCACCATGGTTTATTAATTTAGTTACTTTATTTTCTTTTCAGTGACCCTAAATTCTTTCAAATCAGATACCCTGGCTCTAGTTCCATAATGTCTTATAACCTGGCCCTGTTCACATATTTATGTTCTCTGCTTGCCCTCTACAGGCATTTGAATTTTCGACACTTGCAGGCCATTCGTTGCTACCCCATGAGTTTTCTCCTTCTCAGTGTTCTCTCTCTCTTTCTCACCCTCCTCCATCCCCATGTCATACATACACTGAGGCAGCTGTACCTATTGGGTCGCTGTGAATTAGAATTGAGTCAACGGCAGGGTTTTGCTTTTTTAATGGACTGTTGAGTACTAAAAAGCCAAACCCACTGCCATCAGGTTAGAGTTGCACTCACAGGGACCCCACCCCGTACAGGGTTTCCAGACGAGGATCGAGAGCCATACGTAAGTGTATGGCATGTATTAGGTACTCAATAAATTGTTATTTTTTGTAAATAAGTTTGAATCAGCCTTAAACTTTTTAGTGTACCTTATTGATGATCTTGATTGATCTTATTGATGATCAATAAAGATGGGTCTTTGGCTATATGAAATTTTTGCAGTAAATGATGTCATTGTGGTGGCCTTATTTAAATCACTTGGCCTGAACGAGGTAAATTACGGAATGTCTGGGAATTTCCTATTTACATGTTTTTTTGTGTCCAAATACCCCTCCATTTGAACCATGAAACATTTCACTTGGCCTAGCTCTGGGTTCAAATCCTGGATAAGGCGCAAACAGAACAAAAATAGGTCTGGAATTGCATCTAAAATGAGCATTGTGTTTTATAGGATTTGGGGTTTTTAGCTCAATTTATGTAAAAGATTGATTCTATTTTGATGATGTATCAAAGAGCCACAAAACAGTTTAAAGATAATTTTCCTGCAGCTCTTGGTATTTAACAATCATTTGATTTCTCTTACCTAGGTCTTTTACTCATATTTTCCATTGGCTCTCAAAACTGGTGAGGTAGACATTAGTTACAGTACCTTGTGATGTATACTGCTAAATTATCAAAGAAGCAATATTTAGTTACCTAAGGATTTTTGAAAAATAGATCAAAAGGAGGTAAGTAACCAGGGCAAACGATGTTTTCATTAGTATACATAGTAATGTTTCCCGCCTATAGAGTTGTACCAAGCCTGATTGTTATGTTTTATGTACTGCTCCAAATAACACCTATAATAGGAGAAATTTGTTTTTATTTTTATACACAAGCTGTTTGATTTTCTGACTATTGTATAAATATTAATCCTCACTCACTGCCATTGAGTTGACTTTGTCTCATAATGACCCTTTAGCAACCCTAATCATAGGAGAGTTAAGTAGCAGGTATGACAAAGTACAGAAGAAGATTCCTCAGATCCTATTAACCAGCTCAAAATGCAATTTGTTAAACATTTAATTGTAAAAAATATATGTCTTGTTTAATAATTTCAAATGCAGTTTTTTAATGATTGGGAAGAATGTTAATTCTTTTATCAAAGGATCTCAAAGACATAAACAAGACATCTTTCTGAGACTAAGTAATAAACTTGCTATTCTGTGGTTCTGGAAATTGTTGCCAAGAACTTTCACAGAGCTATCTTTATGTAATATAACATAATAAGATAACTTGAATTTTTAGTTTTAAATAAAGAGGGGAAAGACCTAATTTTTAATGAATTTCATGGCTTGCCTTTGCATGTGGGGGGGTACACACTGTGCACAGAGCACGTGACAAGAGATCAGATCACCAGATTTTACGATCGACAGTCCTGGAATGAGGGTGGCACTGGGAGGGCAGTGGAGAACATAAGTATGTGTTTATGTAACCAGCTAACTCTTCAGTGTCTAGTGTGTTTCTATCTGCTGTCTGCATACCTTGCTTTTAAATAGCTTTAAGAGCTAACATTTTTTGATGATTCTGAATCTCCTAAGAAATTGGTTGTTTTGTAGTTCCTCTGGATCTGCCTCAGTCTTGACACACAGCAGCTCGGGGAATAGCCTGAAGCGGCCAGACACCACAGAATCCCTTCATTCGTCCTTGTCCAATGGAGCCAGTGATGCTGGTAAGTGGTCTTTGAGAAGTGAAATTTTCCTTCCCCTTAGAACTTCTCCAGTTCGTCACCAATCCTAGATTTGTTTTGTTTTAGACCTTTTTGATTCCCATGACGATAGAGATGATGAAGGAGAGGCAGGCTCCGTGGAAGAGCACAAGAGTGTTATCATGCATATCTTGTCCCAGGTTCGGCTTGGAATGGATCTTACTAAGGTAAGAGTCTAAGTGGGCATTTGCCAACTCAAAGTATATGTGGGGATTGGAAGAGATAGTGTAATTAAAAACTATATGTGGGGTTTGGAAGAGGCAGTGTAATTAAACTATAATGGTCTTTTTGAAGCGCCCTTGTACGTGTTCAGGAGATGCTGTGGTCTGAATTTGAATTGTAACCTGCACCTCTAAAGAAGGCCCAGTTGATCTGGAGGAAGTGGGATGTGTGATGCCTTTGAATCTCTGCCTTTGTGCTAGAAGCCTCATCCTCCCATTGATTTTTTCCCCTTTTTTAAATCATTTTATTGGGGGTTCCCATTGATTTACCACAGGACTACAGAGTATCTGTTAATGTTAACTCCATTTTATAGGTGAGGAATTAAAGTGGTGATTTGACTCAAGATCTATTCTGTGTGACAGAACTAAGATTTCAGAACCTGCAATCTTGTCACTTGTCAAGGACCTTTGAGCAGCAATAGCTGCCATTCCTATTCTTTAATTACATATTTTTAGCTGTAGAAGTTTTAAAGTTTTAACAAAATGTAGGGTTCTTTTGTTCTGCCCAAATCAACGTTAGTGCTATATGTAGTCTTGTTATCAGTAGCGAGCTTCGTTTTGGCTTTGTATTTAGAGTACCATTATGAAAAATTACTAACCCAGAATAGTCTCTTGCAGGTGTCTGTGAGGAAACATTTTACCCCAAACTAAATGAGAACAGAAACACCAGGATAGTGTTACCTTTTTTCAGTCAAACGTTCTTGCCAGGAATGCGCTAGGAAAGTGTTCTGCAGGAGCTTGTCCCAGAATTTTTTCCGTGATTCTTAGCTTACATAACTAGCTAGAGCGGAATTGTCGCTTCAAAATTTAAAGTCAAAACTATTCTTTTTACTTCCTGCTAAGTTGGTTTTAGTCCCCAGTATCCAAGACCAATCTAAAAATTGCTTAAGCAACACTGGGCCTGCTATGATGGCAGGCCGAGAGGGAGACTAGTTCCATCCAGCATTCAGTTGGTCAGCAGTGTGAGAAAGGTTTTGTTTAGCAGGTTTTCTGCACTGGGTCCCCAGGTCCAAAGGATCTGTATTCTCTGCTTTAAGTGCTTCTTGATGGTAGTGAGGTCCCCCCCTCAACAGACACAGCCATTTAATTTGCTCAGTAATTGCCCAATTCCAAAAAGGTCACTTAATCCTTTAGGGTCTTGCAGTAGCTAAAGAATTCAAATTCTAAACAAAAGAGGTCAGCAAACTCACCAGCTGCTCTGTGGGAGAAAGATGTTGCAGCCTGCTGGTGTTGACAAAGAATATTAAATATACCATGGCCCACCAGAAGAAGGGACAGATCTGGCTTAGAAGAAGTACAGCCAGAATGTTCCTCACAAGGGAGGATAGCAACGCTCTCATCCTTTGAACATGTTGTCAAGAGGTACCAGTCCCTGAAGAAGGACACCAGGTTTGGAGGTTTTTTAAAAAAAAAGACACCCCCCCACCCCCGACAAGCTGGATTGACACAGTGGCTGCAACAACTCAAATACCCATAAGAATAAGATAGGCAGCATTTCATTCCGTTGGAGCCGGGACAGCAGTACACCTTGGCACACTAGGGAATTGCTGCGATTTAGAACTAAAGATGTGTTCAGTTAGCAGCTGAGAACTTAACCTTTGGTGCCACCAGAGCTCCTGTGCGCGACGGTTTCAAAATGGTCTGGGAAATTTTCATTGGTATTTCATTGTGTGTTTCCATGAACTTTTTGAAGACCCTTCATGTTTTCCATCTATGGAAATATTTTCTTATGTCTTACTGCTTTTGGAAAGAGAAAATTTCCACAAATGTTGTAGGGTTTGGGAATACTGGGAAGCCGCAGCCATTTATCTTCCTTTGTCTTCAGAACCACCCAAGGAAGCAGAGCACGTAACTGCCCTTCTTTGACAGAGCGAGAGCACTTGTACCCAGTGTGAGACAGCCTACCCCAGTCCTTTCACCACTGTTGGAGCCGCTTGACAGAATTGACATGACACGGTGTAGTGCTAAAACTACAGTTGAAAGATATCCCTGAAGATTACTTTCTGAATGACTGTACTCAAGTAACATTTTATGTATGGGAATTTTTTTCCCTTTGATTATAAGTGAAATGGAACTCTGGTGTGTATATACTTGTTCCTTGTTTGAGCATTGCTCATTCAATTCCTGTTTTATTTTTCTGTTAGCATACTAGAGTTTTACTCAAATATCAAGCGCTCTGTATGTTTGTCAACTGAGTGTGTCTTCAGGAGCGCTGCTATGCCAAAACTTGCCTTGCTTAGTGCACTCACAGAGTAAGGAGATGCAGGGTGTGTGCACAGTTGGCAAATAGACGTAAACGGGATGCACTGTGTGCATGAAAATATGGTAGGCACCATTTTTTGTTGAGTTTTGAGGGTTGTGTTTACAAGTATTTTTCTCTCTTGCATTCAAAGAAACAAGCCTCTGGTTTTGTTCTTTTGCATTCTTACTTTGGTGGTTTATAGATTCTGTGTTCTTCAGAAGTTGGAGTCAATCCATAAGTTTATCCGCCAATCTAACCATATTGCGCTTATGAATTCCACGTTCTATGGAAGGAAAATATTTACTGCAGCGTAGCAATGATGACGCATACAACTTTCTGCTAGTTCTTTAATGCTTCTTCCCCCCCACTCTCATGATCCCAATTCTACCTTACAAATACGGCTAGACCAGAGGACGTACACTGGGATAGATAAGAGCTGGAAACACAGGGAATCCAGGGCGGATAAACCCTCAGGACCAGTGATGAGAGTAGCCATACCAGGAGAGGAAGGGGATGGTGGGGTAGAAAGGGGAACCGATCACAAGGATCTACAAATACAGACAAGAGAAAAGTGGGTGAAGGGAGACGTCGGACAGTGTAAGACATGATAAAATAATTTATAAATTATCAAGGGTTCGTGAAGGAGGGGTTGCAGGAAGGGAGGGGAAAAAATGAGCTGATACCAAGGGCTCAAGTAGAAAGCAAATGTTTTGAGAATGATGATGGCAACAAATGTACAAAAGTGCTTGACATAATGGATGGATGTATGGATTGTGATAAGAGTTGTACGAACCCCAATAAAATGACACACACACACACACACACACACACACACACACACAAAGATTTGAAAGCTTATAGCCTCGGTATCTGTCCCTCTCCAAGCATGTGTCCCACCAGCACTCTCTCTATATCCAGCTCTTTAGTCCAGTGGTTTACTCCATTCAATCCCCATTTAGAGTTCTTTTGTCCACCAACTGTTAGAATGAGTTCATTGCTAGGTTGGTGGTTCAAACCCACCAGCTGCTCCATGAGAGAGAGACCAGATTGTCCTGTAAAGATTTACTACCTTGGAAAACCTATATAGGGTTGTTATTTGCAGTCTCACTCTTCCCATTTCTCTAATGCCACCCCAAGGAAGAATTCTCCCTCTGCCAAATTCTGAGACAAGCAGTGACAGTTTAAATGGGTTAACATGCTGACCACAGGGTCAGCAGATCAGAAACTACCAGCCATGCTTAAGGAGACAGATAAGCCCATCTGCTCCCATTAAAGATTTACAGTCTTGGGAAGCCACCGTCAGAGTATTGTTATGAGTCAGAATTTAACTTGACAGTGAGTCTGGGTTTTTTTTAAGACCCCTAATTCTACTTTCCCAAACACAACATGATCTTTCCCTCTCTTAAACTTTCAGATCACTTTGAACATCTCTTGCATGATGCTACATTTAACTTAAATGTAGGGATTATCCTTAGATTTACCTCATAGCTTTTAACATTGGGCCCTGAATGCTTTCTAACCTTGAATTTAGTGGTCCGCTGTTTGTTTCCAACTGGGCAGATTAATGGGAAGTTAAGAATCCAGAACCATTTGGGAAGTAGCTTTCAAAGTAAGTCTGGCAATACTGGGTGGGTATGACTGATTGCTATGAATTTTCAAGAAGCAATTAAGCAATCTGTCCTTAGTGGAATATCAATGTTAAATGTGTCTTTTTCAGGTAGTTCTTCCAACATTTATTCTTGAAAGAAGATCTCTTTTAGAAATGTATGCAGACTTTTTTGCACACCCGGACCTCTTTGTCAGGTATTTGACTTATCACAGGGCTTTCTTATTTTTTAAGATGTTTCTCAATTGTTTTCTTCTTACATAGAACAGACAAATTCCTTCTTATCTTTTATCTGGGTAAAAGTAACATTGGATTCTTTTTTGCTTATACGGGTCTCCACTTTTCAAAAGCACATCTTACATGACTTTGATAACAGACTGACATTAGTACCTGTTATCGTTAACAGAAAAATAATGAAGATGATTTCTGCCTTTCTAAAAAGGGAAAAAAGCAAACTTAGCATTCAATGAGATCCAAATATTCTGAAACCCAAAATGGAAGAATAATCCTAAATGCCTGTGCACACACAGTAGCAAAGCTTTAAAGGACATAGAACAAAAATTGAACTAAAGAGAGAAAACATCTAAAATTTTAGTTGGAAATTTATTCATAAGGAACTGATTGAATAAATAGCACCCTCTCAAAATTAAAAAGGAAAAGAAGGCAAGGAAGACTAGAGAATATTTGAGAAAAATTTTAGTGAACTTGACTCAATTGACCCTCCTAAACATGACACTTAACAACTGTGGAACACAAGCTTCTTCCAAATACAGAACATTCATCAAGACAGCTCATATAGTGGGCTCTAAAACAAGTCTTCACAAATTTAAAATGAATGAAATACTATAGAGTATAAGAGTAAATTTGATAATCACAAAGGGCCAAATTAGAAATCAACGAATTAGAAGAATCTGGGAAATCCCCAAATGTTGGCAATTTAAAAGTACATGAGATTCTGGACCAAGCAAAAGTAATCTCTGGTGCTAGAAGTCCTACGCAATAATTGTCATAGGTGTGGGGATTGGGAATTGCTAGAATAGGGGCATTCAGAGACTGCAGCAATGGAAATAAATCCTATCTGGAGTGGTTATTAATTACATTAATATCTACATGTATTCAAACGTCGGGTCTGTGCATTTAACTGTATACATATTAATTATATGTATGCATTCTACAGTAGAAAGTTGGGATCTCTCAGGCTAGGCGTATTTACCATGGGGACTGAGGCATCCGCTGGGTTACTGTAAAAGCAAGGCACTGACCTTTTTCTCTTCTGTTTCAGCATTAGTGACCAGAAGGATCCCAAAGACCGAATGGTGCAGGTGGTAAAGTGGTATCTCTCAGCCTTTCATGCAGGAAGGAAAGGGTCTGTTGCCAAGAAACCATACAACCCCATTTTGGGTGAGATTTTTCAGTGTCACTGGACGTTACCAAATGACACTGACGAGAACGCAGTGAGTACGACTCTGACATTTTAAAATTAGCTTTCACTGTCTACCGATTCAAGATTTAATTTCATTTTCAGGCACATTATAAGTGATGTAGGGAATGATCTAGATATGCTCACTGCCCATGGAGCACTATCGCTGGACCAGCTTGTTAACAAAATAGTGAGCCAAACAAAAGAGCAGTGTAAGATGAGGATGGAGATTTTTAAATGAGATCATGGAGGCATAATGAGAATTTTATGTTTTGTCAGCATGTCAGTTTTGGTTAGAAAAAAATAGTATGATGGTTTTGGAAAGGGGCAAAAACCCAGGAGACCATAGATATGGAAGCGTTAGCATGATTTCAAGAGAAAGATGGGAGATCGAACCCATAGATTTGAGGAAGTAAAGGAAAAGGGAGTGGGGTAATCAGAGATGAGTCTTTGCATGGGCCCTTTGCAGTAGGTGCCATATACTAAAACTAAACAATTCCATTTGGGGAAGGGAAAATAAAGAGTATTGATGTGAAGTGTAAAGCATGAAGAATCTTTTAAACATAAAATTGGGGATTTCAAAGCAAGAGTTGTCACCTAAGCATTTCAGGAGATCTAAAGTGTGTGTGGATAAGGCTTTCAGAGATTTTTGTAGATTTAAATGCTATTTAAGTCCTGTGCTTGGATGACATCACATCAAGAAGATGGTGCAACTACTAAAGAGTAGGTATCCCAGAACTGAGCCCCACAGCTCCAAAATTTAGAGGTTTAGTTTGAGGAAGCTGACTGCCAAAACCCAAAGAAATTATTTAAAAATTAAAACCCTTTAACTCACAGTGCCTGCTGTCTGTCAGTAACATGAAGCTCCACCTTTCCTTTTCTGAGCCCCATGTTACTAAAGACAGGTGCCAGCTGGATCTTCCTATTCAATTGGCACACATTGGCAATTACCCTATACTGGGCCCATGATCCTTCCCTTCAAGAATCACTCACGTCTAGTCTAACCAATGATATAATCCAGTGCCATCATGTGTATCTATCTGATGCTTTGGGAGTGTGATGGGAGAAATTAAAGTTACCTTGGGAGCCAAAGACTCAGTTATTTGAGTTTCTGTAGTGTTACTTTTGTTTCTACATGAAAAAAGAAAATGCTATTATATTTGCTTGCAGGAGCTAGTTTCAGAAGGACCAGTTCCCTGGGTTTCTAAAAACAGTGTAACCTTTGTGGCTGAACAGGTTTCCCATCATCCACCCAGTAAGTTACACAGTGCCTCTACTCTCAAACAAAATGTGTCTAAAATGGGTCATTAAAAGGTCCATAGTTGAGATCAAGCAAGATGGTTATAAAAATGAGGGGAAATCCCAAATCAATTTTTATTGCTTTAAAGCCATCTTACATATATGACATGTATGAGTTATACCATAGAAACCTCAGCAACATTGAGACCATTTGTAAAGTTGAGGTATAGGTCCTGCACAGGGTATATACATGTATTCTTGGTGTAATAAACATAGTATATACCATCAACACTGTGTTTGCTCGGTCTGCTGTTAAGGCCCCAGGTTCAGGTTGGCAAAGGGAATACTTGCTGCCCAGGAAAATATTTAGTAGTCCTTTTGATTTTAAGCCTCCTGGACTGGCCACTGCCTCATGTTCCAGGCACCTCCTGCCTACATGGCCTTGCGTGAATTCTTGTATTGGATGCAAAGACATTAACGATAAAGGATTCTCTATTGAACCAATTTTTCCCAGGCTTAAGGGAGTTGGGAAGGTGGCAGAAGTTGTAGAGTGCATTAAGTGACAAGAATTTTTATTCAGTTTCAGCTTTTTATGCTGAGTGTTTTAACAAGAAGATACAATTCAATGCGCATATATGGACCAAGTCAAAATTCCTTGGGATGTCAATTGGGGTGCACAACATAGGGCAAGGTGAGTCTGTAGACCTGGTGTGGACTACAGTTATTCTAGTGTATGCTGGAGACTTGTTTAGCAAGAGAAAATGGCCCCAGAGTTTAATGTTATCGTTACATATAAATGTAAGTATTAGGGGATAGGGTGTGAGATTGGCTGTCCTTAAATTGAATAAAATATCCCCTCAACTGAACAAAGAAAACTTGCCTCCAGTTAACACTATTTATCAGAGATTCTATCCCTTCTCTCCACAGGCTGTGTCTCTTGTCTAGACTATGATGAACATTACATTCTCACATTCCCCAATGGTTATGGAAGGCAAGTAGTGAGTGCTGTGTCCACCTCCTCTGATCAGAAGCAGTTCCTACTTCCACCCTGTTCTGAACCAGCATTCTTAACGGAAAACCTTTGACTTTGCAGGTCCATCCTCACGGTGCCCTGGGTGGAGCTAGGAGGAGAATGCAATATTAATTGTTCCAAAACAGGCTATAGTGCAAATATCGTCTTCCACACTAAGCCTTTTTATGGAGGAAAGAAGCACAGAATTACCGCTGAGATTTTGTAGGTATTTTGGTTTTCTGCCTTGGTTCTCTTCTGAAATACTTTTCCTTTCTCTTGACCTATGACTTCTATTAGAAATTGGTTGTTTTAAAAATACTGTCTTTGTAAATTTCCTTTCTATTATGCATGGCATTTGTTCTCCTAAAGTCTGGATTGAGAACTGGGGTTCTTCTTCCCAAGAACTTGATGTGCAAATGGCGAATTAGTCTTTTCCAGGCTAGCGAACTCCTTCCTAATTAGTTTCTAGGAGTATATGGGCAAAAAGATCAAAAGAAAATGGGAAGAATACTCAATGCCATTGAGTCATTTCTGCATAGAAGTAAAATTTTGCTGAATATAATTCAAAAATACTTGCAGCAGTACATTGGCAGGGGATTTGCCAGACCAGACATTCAGGCTGGAATAACATTCAACTATGTGGATCATAATTTGTTAGAGATAACACTGTCAACTCCAAAACACTGAATTGTGCTCATGCTGAACCTGTACACAGACAAAGAGGCTATTGTTCAAAGAGAACCGATGTGATTTGAAATCAGGAAAGGTGTGTGTTACGATTATCCTTTCATCATACATAATGCAGTCTGTAATCTGAGCTGTTATTCTGAAAGGCAGACCTATATGAATAATTCAGCATCTGAGTTAAAGTCTCACTAGCCTGCAGTATGCAGATGACGCAGCCTTGCTTGCTGAGAGTGAAGAGGGTTTGAAATACTGATGATCAACGATTATTCCACAGCATAAACAAAAATCCTCAACTGGACCAGCAAGCAACAAATCCGGTTAGATGGAAAGAAGATTGAAGTTGCTAAGAATTTCATTTAACTTGGATCTACAATTAAATGCCCTTGACGCCCAGTCAAGAACTAGTGTCATAAGCATTGGGCACATCTCTTTGTAAGAGTCTTCTTTTCAAATGTTAAAAACCAAAGATAACACTCTGAGGACTTGGCCTAAACAATCTTGTTTGCAATCAGCAAAAGCTAGACAATGAATAAAGAAGAGTATCGAGATTTAATGTCTTTGCATTATACGGTAAAGAATCTCATACAAGTCTTTCTAGAAAGCAGCACAGCCAGGAGCAGGTGATAGCCCCTTTGCAGAGGGCAGTCAAGCGTGAAGTGGAGGGTCAGTGTAAAAGAGGTCTGGCATGGAGATGGCTGCACCAGTGGACTCCAACACAGTCATTTTGAGGATGGCCCAGGACCAAGTCCTGTATTCTGTTGTGCAGATTTGGAAATGACTCAGGGCCACTCATCGCAACTAGCTAATATATAGATCATGAGTTCCTGGATCTTTCTTGCCAGATAAGACCATGAGCTAGTCATTATAATGCAGTTTATGACACACACATCCTACCCAGACTTCATAGCCCCTCATCTTTGCCCCCGCCCCCTGCCCAATATGGCATGAAAAGCTAGTAGCCATCATACCCTGCAGGCAATTGCTTGGCTCTGTTCAATGCTCTTGGGTCAGAAGAAAAATTAAGCTGTCTGGACAACAAGTTAGTTGGATAGGTTCCCTGGAAGGGGATGTCTAGGTCTCCAGCCCATAGGACTTTCCTTTGCCCTGGAAGGCCTTATTGGGAACATGTCTAGATAACAGACATGCAACTGGTTTTCCAGGGAGGATTTTTGGATGAGTTAGGATCCAAAACAGTTCTGACCAGGGTGGGATCATGAACACACACACAAGATGAATTTTAATAAGGACCAATTTAAAATTCAGAAATGTGTTATAGTCAGAAAATAGGCAGGACTTAGAGAACAAGCAGCACAAGTTAACCTCCATAATGTAGATGTGTGCCCCCACTTCACTGCCCCCACCCCCAAGCAGATGATGGAATAATTTCTAGAATAGAGGCACAGGTAGCTCAGCTTTTCAGTGATCCTCACAGTGACCAGCATAACAACTTCCTACCAGAACATTTAGTGAAGAGAGTACCCTCAGAGGGCTGTGAACCAAAAGAGCCCGTGGGTTAGAGGCTTGTAATTCAGTATCTGATTGCACTAACCCAGTTTCTGCAAACTTTTTTCTGAGTCTTTTCTACTTAAAATCTATTAAGGACCACCAATGACGTGTGTGAATTACATGAATATTTCTGTATTGTAAATTAGATATGAAACTATTAATTCATATAGAAGTAGCAAAATAGTACTATATACAAAAATATTTTCTAAAGCTTTTTGTAACTGCTGTGATGAAGATAATGTCTATTTCAGATGTCTAACAGCTGACTTAACAGAATACAGCTGAACCATTTAATTCTTGCATTTAAATCTTGCTGTATCATGTGACATAGCCCCAGCAAAGCACTGTACAAATAACTTTGTGTTAATATTATGAAAATAGTTTTGACTTTATAGAGCTCTCCCGAGAAGCTTGTCTTGGGAAACCCCAAGAGCTCTCAGCCCATTTTGAGATCCTCTATACTGGATACAATCTCTCCCTTGGTTCCTACTATTTTATTTCCCTTGTCCCCACTCTAATCATGGAGGACATTTGCATTTAGGCCAGTCATAGCAGCTTTCCTCCCTCTCTGCCATGTTTGCCTCTGACTTCTTTCTGCCCTGTTAATGCCTTGCTCTTCCTATCTTTTGATGTAATAATAATGCTTTATCTTCTCAAATTCAATGACTGCTGGAATATCCAAGTTGAAGCCTATCAGGGCTTTTAAGGAAGGGATCATCTCTTAGGGAAAGAATCCAAACTACGTCATTTGACTTAGTTTCCCTTTCAACGTAACATTACATTCTTAAACCAAGCCTTCGCCGTAGCAGTTTTGCCTTTGGTCTCCAGCACCCACATACGCTTACCACAATACTTACCATAGAATCTTAGTATTTCCTCAACCAGGTTTTTGAATAGTTTAAGGGCAACGACTATACCCAGTCTTTTGTGGCCCTAGCACAGGGCTCTCTTGTCCAACCCATACCACTGTGTTCATAGGGCCTAGAGTTCCTTAGCATCTTGCCCAGGACGTTCATTCTAACCACTGGTTCTAAGAAATCATGTTCCGTTAAAGCTACTTTTGCCAAAGGCTTCGTAGTTGCTCTTCTAATTTTCACAAGAGGGAGTTTTGTCCTATACATTTGCTAATGTGTCAGCATTGCCTCCTCGGTGGCAATGAGTTTTGGGGGGATTTTTTTGTTGTTGTTGTCTGGGTAGGCCAAGTAATTCTCAGTTTGAGACTAACATGAATGCTTCCATTTTTGTTTAGTCCTCCAAATGATAAGAAGTCTCTTTGCTCAATTGAAGGAGAATGGAATGGTGTCATGTACGCAAAATATGCAACAGGGGTAAGAATCTGTACTTTGCCACCTGTTTTAGGCTGCTTTGAATTGTAAGTTGTCCCTTCCTCTGGTTTCCTTCCTTTAACCTGTAAGACAGTCTTTAGTGTCATCTCTCCAAGGCAGTCCTCAACATCCCCACCCCCACCCCCACCCCCACCCCCAGCAGTCAGGTAGTAGAATCACTTGTAATCCACTGCTTGTTCGCAAATACTTTACAATGTGTCTGAAAGTGTGGCTGGCACATAGAAAGTATTCGATAAATGTTAACTCGGTCATTAGAAGGTGTCATCTGTTTATAAAATGAAATGTTTGTTGAAACTCATTGGATACATATATGTGGACCTTCATTATTAGATCTGCTAAGAGTCTCTGTACAATTTCTGTTTCCTACAAGAACAGTTTAAATAAAACATCCATCTACCTCTTTTCTAGGAAAATACAGTCTTTATAGATACCAAAAAGTTGCCTATAATAAAGAAGAAAGTGAGGAAGTTGGAAGATCAGAATGAGTATGAATCCCGCTGGTAAGGAGAAATAACTAGAACTATTGCCAGCTGTCTGTTGAGGTGCTTATCCTGTAGCCTACATACAGGACAGGGGGCAGCTTTTCGAGGTGGGATACTACCTCTGAACCCCTAGGTCCATACATCACCTCCATTCCACTAGCTCTGCAACCATTAACTAAGTCACCTCACCTCATTTTGCCTCATTTCTGATAATGGGAAATTTGGCACTAATAGAAAATTGTGAGGACTAATGTTTTGTTTAACACCTTAAATTATCTGTCACCCCTAAATATTTCTGTACCTCTATGATTAAAAATTCACTGTCATGCATTTTATAAAATGTAGTAGTTCTGATATGTTATCTAATTGTCATTTAATTTTCCTATTCCCTAAAATGTTAGACAATTTTCTTTCACTTTGTTTGAATCAGGATCTAAATAAGATCCAGACAGAGCTTTCTTAAAGTTCATGGGAAAAACTGAATTAAAAATGGAATATTTTCACAATTTTGGTAAGCCCCCTCATTGGCAGTATGAGGAGTCATGTGCTAGAAGTTCCTGTTTTGAGTGTTAAAGGATTTCTTATGTGAAGGGAGTCTGACAAATCTTTGAACCATTCTTGTTTCTTAATTTATCAATAGTCTTTGTATGGTATCTCTATGTGCACTATCCAATATACAGTTCATCCCTATTTCTTTCTCTGGGGTCTCAGGCCCATTTTACCTGGTGAGTTTCATCTGAGCTACAGCACTGGAAGCCATTTGCTGTGCATGGTCCCTATTCTGTTGCAGTCAGGGATGGCTTTCGGTTTTCTTTCTCAAGATTGTAACTTCTCTGTTCATCAGGTTCTTAACACCTTGATTTCTTTTCTTTAGCCTTTGGAAAGATGTCACTTTCAACTTAAAAATCAGAGACATTGATGCAGCAACCGAAGCAAAGCATAAACTTGAAGAAAGACAAAGAGCAGAAGCCCGGGAAAGGAAAGAGAAGGAAATTCAATGGGAGACAAGGGTAAACTAGTTTGAGGGAACTTAACTTTAATCTCCCAGTCATTCCCCCCACCCCCCACCCCCGGACCCTGAGCTATAACTTGTGATGAATAGGATGAGCTCTGGTCCCTACCTGAAGCTTATTTCAAGAAGAGGGGGAGAGAGAGAGAGAGAGTGAGTGTGTGTGTGTGTTGTGTATTGGACGGTGGATACAGAATAACAAGTGTAATGGAATCTTTCCTCCTTTCTCTTGCAGTTATTTCATGAAGATGGAGAATGTTGGGTTTATGATGAACCATTACTGAAGCGCCTGGGTGCTGCCAAACACTAGATTGGGAAACGTTTACCCCTGGTGACCAGGGCAGTAGGCATAATGAAGCATCAATCAATCTTCCTTTGGGAGAATCTATTCACTCCCTTCTTATTGCAGTGGTTCCTATCTCAGGGATACTGGACTTGCTGAAGCAGATGAACAATTTAAAGCAAGAAAAGCTTTCTTCTTCTCTCTTCTGTGGCAGTTAGGATTTTGACTTCAGTCCTGAGAAGAAACTCAGGCATTGAAAGCAGATGTCACTAAGCTCTGAAAAAGCATTTATAATCCTGTCTCAAACTCTGCACTCTAGTACTGCTATTGAGATATGACATTTCCTAGTTCATATCATCTTGGTTCTATCTATATATATATACACACACACACACACATACATATATACAAAATATACTTGATGCAAAATTGTGCATAATACTCCATCTGTAAATAATGATTCCTCTGTTTTAGAAAATTAGTGGTTATTAAAATCAAGTGTTAGGAAATTTCATGGTCTCATCTATAACTTTTATTTTGGAATTGAGCTATTACATTGTATCTTAACTCTGGACCACAGTTTAATTATATTTAGTGCTACTTAAGGCTTCATAAAGTAAATTTTCCAATCTTTCTTTTTAATGTGTTTCCTTTATTATCTTGAAACATCAAACCAATTATTTTGCAGAGCTAGCTTGTCATAATAATATATTCCTGACCCCTTCCAATAGCAGTTTAATGGGTTCTGGGTTCTTTTACCCCTACACCAAGCTGTTCTCAAGTCTTCACTGAGCTCACCGCCATTTATTAAAAAATACGGCATCTTACTGTTTTACAGGGTTCCAGAAGAGATGGTTTTTTAGATGCTGTTTCCAATGTCACACTTAAAAGAATAAGGAATGCAAAGGAAGCAAGTGCCTCATTCTGAAGGGAAAATACAGATACAGAACTATTTTTATTTAAAAATACATTTAAAAGAACAAGTACTAATAATTAGTACCGAGTAGCTGGGCATTAATAAGTTAGCTGGTCAGTAGGGCTCCTCCAGGCTGGCCCACACAACTGGATTCTCAACTGAGATGACACAGGCCAGCACTCCTGCGGGCACACTGCTAATTTTGCTTCCAGCTGCTACCCTGGCTCGTTAAGACTCTACAGAAAATGTGGGGGAAAGCTTGGAAGCCAGTGCAAAAAATTCAACAGAAGCCCTGAGGCAAAGTAGCGTAACTGTAAAATACAAACACATTTTAAAATACACATTGCTTCAGGTCAGGCCAACGAGACTGCAGTTTATTTGACTATTTTGTGGTAGGGGAGAAGGTTAAGTCTTGATGTGAAAGCCCTGATATCGGTAATGGAGATGGTGGAATCTGCCAGCAGAGGAGAGGTTGGCAGGTAGGTTAGCTGCATCACTTCACCATAAGAACAGTTGGAATCCTTGCCAGAGGGAGCATTTTCATCTTCCAGCTCATATTTCCCATACCCAACAACCTGAAAGGGTTCAAAGACTCAAGGTGAGAACAAAGACCTGTTTCAGTTCCCTGAAAACCCCTTATCAATGAGTGCTAAGTGGGCAAGGTGATAATATAGTTAAGCATACTCACGTGAACACTAAGCATTTTACTTCCTGCTCCTCTGTGACCCTTGAACCAGTTGACCAGGTCTGATTTTGAGAATGACTTCAGTGCTTCAATCTTAGAAGGGGCGGGGCGGTAAGATGAAAAGAAACAAGCTATAAAATACAACTGGAAGCATCTTTTTTGAGAGAGCAATCAAGCAAATCTATTTATTCTCCCAAGTCTAACTTGTCCCCAGCCTTCTAAAAAAATGAATCTGACACATGATATTTCAAAGAAATGATCCACTGAGGCAGATGAGCAGGTAGGTCCCGTACATGACTAGGAGTGCTACTAAAAGCAATATAAGCCACCTTGGTGTCACCTCTCAGTGACATAGTAACTTACTCAAACAGATGAAGACAACTTTGTCCTGCTAATGAAACTGCCTTACAGTCAGTGAGTTAAGATGTTAACCCTTCTGTACCTCACAGATTTATGTGGTAAATGATTAATCACTAATCAACATTCTCAGAGGATTCTTAGAGGATACCAAGACACAGAACTCTGGGGAGGACTATACAGCTGTGGTAAAAAGGACAAAATGAGAGTGCTTTGCTTGAAATGGGGAGAAGGGGGGTATAAGGTTGAACAATGCTCATCAGCAAGAAAGAGGCCAGTCTGAAAGCCCCAGACTGCCTTAACAAAAGGGAAAGGATTTCTCTTCCACACATTGCTGGTTTGCTTTGACCAGGGGTCCCTCCGTGGTCCCTAATTAGTCTGTGCAGAGTCACACTATAAAATGGTATTACTACCTCATGGGCAAGGCGTTCAAAGAGATACTGCTGTGTCACCACTTCGTTCCAGTTCCTATCTACTTCTTCTCCAAGGTGTGTATCCTCACACTCCTTCAGCTTGATCAGCGCTGTAACCTGTTTTCACGACAAAGACAGACCTTCAGCCATGGCATCACAGCTCCCACAGGAAGACACTTGGTACTGTCCAGTGTGGCGTGTGATAGACCCTCAATGGATGAAGTTTGGGAGATGACAGATTACAGGGGCCCATAGGCTCCAAAACAGGTCAATATAGTGCTTTTAAAAATGTGTCCAGTGCTGATGAGCCAAGGGCCAAAAACTAGACCTGAGTGTTAAATGCCTCTTCGGTGAGATTTTCAATCTTCTCCTCAAAGCTAGAAAGAAACTCTTCTATCTTCTTATCAACAACTTCAGAGCTGAAATAAAACACATTCAATTAAGTAATCAGAGACCTATTCTGGAACAGGCAAAAGAGAGTTAAGGCTTTTTCCAGGAAAGTTAAGGTATATTCCAGCAAAGAGTTAAAGTGTTTCTTTGCAAGCCTCATTATTCTGCTCCCAGGGTGATAGAGGAGAATGGGGAGGAATTCTTACCCATATCCTGCCCAATATCTAGCTATTCTCACACTGAGCCAGTGAGAGCCATGAATGGCAGGTCCTTGCCCCACAAATGACCACAGGACTTGAGTCAGCCCCTAGGGGACTAGGCCTAGATCCAGCTCATATATAAGCCCCTAGACATATGGGTTTTAAGGTCTGAGTTTACAGCATGTACCCTCCATGTATTACAGAGTACTCCGGAATAACAAATTGGGCCCATATACTATCCATTTACTCACTTGTATTTGGTTGCCTGAGTCCCAACGGTGACAGAAAATCCTAGAATCCCAGATGTGTTTCTACAGGTAGAGTAGACATGATACCTAAAGCCAGAATGATAAATTATATAAGCTCAGGATCCTAGCTTTAAAGGCAATAGAAACGAGTGGGAAGAAAAAGTTTGTATGTCCTTACTAGATCTGAAGGTCTTGAAAGAGGATCCCACTTATACCTGGAAACCTCACAGCGCTATGTATATGAACTTTTTCTGAAGGTTTACTCCTTTCCTCAAGAATCACAGACTAGCATTTTCTCTTGCTAATCTTGAAAGCTGACCAAATCCCAAAGTTCTAACTACCGTATATACTCGAGTATAAGCTGAGTTTTTCAACACATTTTATGCAGTTTTTGTGGTTAATGTTAGGTGCCTCGGCTGATACTCTCTGCTAATACTCGAGTATATACGGTAGTAGGCATGACTAAAACATGAAAACACCAGAGACTGAGTGAAGCTGCTCAGTTATGATTCCAACAAGCCCATAAAGCCAACTGTAGACTCATTATTTGAGCACAGTTGTCCCTGCTGACCAGACTTACCCAAGTGTCTGCTTGGTTCGAAGGAAGTCAAAACAGGGCTCTTCCATGTGCATCTGTAATTCAACATATTAACCATCAATTAACTCTTCCCAGCAAAGAAACCTGTATGTCTTTCCCACAGTGCCCCACCAGCTCCAGCCTCCCTGTCTTCCTAAATGGCGTAGGTGCCCTGTCCACACTTGACACTGGGTAAGAATACTAAATGACCATGTCACACACTGAACACTATTTTCCTCCCAATCACAGCACTCTGACTACCCCAAGAAGTCCTTAACTCCCAGCCTGAAAGGCCAGACCTTTTATAGAGCATGACTCTTACTTCCACACTTACCACAAGCAGCTCCATAAGAGTGTATTCTCTCAGACTCCTGGCACCTGACTGAAAGAAGAACTTGATCAGAACACCTGAAAAAGTGGCTAATAGGGTTTTTAGATACTGTATAACCTTGTGTCTAACCAGAGTTTTCAGCACATTTTTTTACAGTTTTTGTGGTACAATTAGGTGCCTCGGCTGATCTTCAGGTGGTCTTATTCTCGAGTGTATATGGTTCTGGGAACCACTCACTCACGCATCTTTACTATCACCACCTTCACTCCTTCAGAAGAGTTCATCGTACCCTCAACTGCCATAATGTCACTAGTTTGGTTCCATATCTGCTTCCCTATTAGTCTGATGATCTGTGAAGTCGGGTATCTTTCTCGATCATCTACATTCCCAATTCGAGCATAGAACTGCAGGTAGACATGAAGGTTAGTCCAGTAATCCTAGACCTGTCAACTCTTATCCTTGTAACTCTTATGGGACACATTCTAAAATCAAACACTAAAGTTCAAAGTTCTGAAGGAGGAAAGCAGGAAATAAATGGGGAGGGATCACGAAGAGTATCTGGATCCATTCCTTGGTAGAAAAAAAAAGCTGCTGCAGTCACACACACGGGCCCAAATCAGTTGATACAAGAAAAAAACACTCCGGGACCTAATCCTACTGGTTGCAAATAACGACTCCAGAATGAAAGAGGGCAGGAAGCCAACAAGCAGAGTTATTACTAATGCATCCCAGTGTCAGGTTCTCCGGCACAGGCTTTATTCCTTCCTACTTCAGAAGTGTCTTGATTGGACAGCACAGAGATTTCCTGTTTGACTAATGAAAAGTGCTGTGATAAAACCAGTCAAAACCCTGTAATAAAAGTTCACAGTTCAAACTGCTGTGAGACATGGTTTGCTAAAGGAAGCAGTTTATATTAGAAACTACTAATTATCATTAGACAACATCTCCATAGACATTCTTGTAGGAAACCCTGAACAGTAGGAAACTCTGGAGAAGTACTCTTTGGGTTGCAAGCAGTCACAGGCACTAGAAATGTTGAGACAGGTTAAGAAGAGCCCCAACTGAGCATTGAGTTTAAAACGTGGTGGTCATCTCAACTTAAAAAAGTGGAGACCCTGGAAAAGGCCCAGGCAAGAATGCTATAGCCAGAGGTGGATAGGGTGCACAGACAAGCTGAGAAAGACAAAGCTCTATCACTTGAGCTCCAAAATCACTGTGACTCCACTAAACTTTGATTAACCATATTTGCTTCTGACAATCAAACCAAGACAAAATGAGGAAAACACTCAGGAACAGGGCCAGAAACATAACAAAATGATGACGAAGGTGACAGGCTATATAAAAACCAAACCCACTGTCATGGAGGCCATGGAGCTGTGACCAAAGCCCAAATGAGGCGTTCATTACAGAACCTGACAGGATCGTGCAGGGAAAGTAGTACTGTAAGAGCAACTAGTAGCCCTGAATTTTGGAAGTCTGAGAGCAAGCATACATTTAGGAATGACCCTGAGTCCTAGAAGTGGGTGGGGCTAAACAGCTTAAACGAAGGTTATGGGCTAAATTGAGATCCATTGGAAAAATCTTACATCCCATCCCACCCTTTCAGAATGGTGTGGAAAAAGCACAGGATCTAAGGGCAAAAGGAGTAGAGTTGCAGGTGATAAGAGCTCAGGCAAGTAAGGAACTAAACCGATTTATCAGCCAAAAAAGTGAGTCATAAATACTATCTCTCAGTTGCTTTAACTATGACAGCACATCTGTCTGTTGTCAGAAAGGGCTTTCTATTCTCATGAAAAGGAAACCCAGAGTCAGCTTCGCCCTGTCCCTTAGAAATGACTCGATAGCAGTTGGGTTTGCTTTTGGTGGTATATACTTTTGTCTTTTTCCCCAAAAAAATATACTCTGCTGCTTTTCATCCACATTCTGGCCTCTGATCCTCTGACTAATAAAGCAACCCCTCACTGTGATCGAAAAGAACCTATTTTTCACTTACAGGAACAACCTTTTTAAATGTAGCTGCTACAAGAGCACAAATAACCTAAAACAAAAGGCCTTGAGGGTTACTGCCTCATTTATTCCCATGTACTTTGGGCCTTCACCAGGCTTTAAAGCATGCATGAGGATGGCTGGGTGCAATGGGGCCAACTGACCTGGTAGTACACAGTGACTTCAGAGTTGGCATCACCCTTGTTCAGGGCTTTCACTTTGCATAGATGGTGGCCACGGGGCAGTTCTACCACCTGGAACTGCACAGGCATCTCCTGTTCCAGAGGGATGAAGTTCAGCTTGCTGCAAGAGAATCATGGTGGGTCCCTGAGACGGTGCCTTTCTTTTCTAACCCACACCCACAGATTGAGAAGGGCCAAGCCTTCCACCATTTCTTCTGAATTGCTCTGAATTATACATCCTCAAGAAAATCTACCACAAGAATTATCTCAATTGTGGGTTTAATACTAATTAACTGAGTGGTAGAGTTCAATGAATCTCACTAGTAAGAACACAAAACTCCGAGAGAGAAAATTCAAACTAATACTTACTCAACACCGTATTTCAGGAAATCCATAGACTCCTAGGATAGAAAGGAAAACTAGATTAGATCACCTTGACACCCAGAACCAACTTATATTAATATTTTAATGGTTGAAGAAGCTTGTATAGCATTAATACTCTAGGCAAGTCATTCATTGATTGGACGAGTCATTTACTGACTCAATGTTGATTATATTTGCTGAATATTAAGTAGGTTTTAAACTAAACAGCTCCTTTTCTGTGTTCTGTTCAATATATTGCAATACTTTCCCCATTAGATCAAATGTAATTGTTGAGTGCCAGGTTACCTATTGGACAACTGTGATTGTGTCTTAGAATCTGGGCCTATTATTAACAGAGCCTAGTATCAGCAGTTCGACTCCACCAACCATTCAGAGGGAGAAAAGATAAGGCTGTCTTCCCCAGTAAAGATTTACAGCCTCAAAAACCCTAGGGAACTGCATCAGGATTAACTTGAGGGCAGTTGTTGGTTTGTCTTTTTCTAAAGAAATCGAGGATGACCCTCAAGTGCTTTCAACTTTGGACAATCCATCATATGACGTCCTCTGGTCCAATAGTCTGTAACTAGGATGTCCTAGAGCAGTGGTTCTCAACCTTCCTAATGCTGCGACCCTTTAATACAGTTCCTCATGTTGTAGTGACACCCAATCATAACATTATTTTCATTGCTACTTCATAACTGTAATTTTGTTACTGTTATGAATTGGGCGACCCCTGTGAAAGGGTCGTTGGAACCCCACATGTTGAGAACCGCTGTCCTATAGGATCATTAAGTCAGGACTAACTTGAAGGCAGTTTTGGTTTGTCTTTTTTTTAAGAAATGGAGGAATGACTTCATCTCTTAAGTGGTTTTAACTTTGGGCAATTCATCTTATGATGTCCTCTGATCCAATAGTCTCTGCCTAGAATTATTATGCTCAAAGGAGCAGGTGGTAGTTCCTACACTTCTTTCTGCGGGTCAAAACTTTTAACTTTTTTTCTGTGGGTAAGTTTTGGGGAGTGAGAATTTTAAGAAAGTGAAAAGTATTGCAGCCATAGTCTCAAGTGATCATTTGTATGTTCTAACAAAGAGCCAGTACTGAGAAACTGGGAGACGGTGAAGTGAAATAACCTTCTAGCCCAAGCACTCTTGGTTAGAAGAGGCTTGTTAGTTACATGGTCCTAGAGATAAACCCAACTCAATACATGTCCAAACAAACTCCTCATTCCCAATCCTTCACCAACCCAATAGTTTAAGTCAGAAATCCGTGCACCATCATAAATGGCTTCTCATCAGTCAGTGAGTTTAGGCCACCTTCTTTCTACACTTCATTATTTCTTAAGTACCGAGTTTTCCTTTCTTTTGCCTTAGACAAGACTACATTTTCACTTCATCTGTTTTAAGTCTCTTAACTAACGTCTCTGTCATCCTTCTTAACCAAAAATCCTCTCTGAACCCAGTTCTACAGGATCGAGTCAACGCTATTTGGCTTGACACACAACTTGCCAAAGAAATGACTTTAAAAAGATTCATGGGAAAATTCTATTATCTTTAAATTTTTTGCCCTAATATGTTTGACATACAGCTTTTTCCTATTTATATATGTGTGTTTTTCTCACCAGTGCCCTCCTCCCACTTTAACCTTTGCTATTATCATCAAACAGATGCTGGTGACCCACGTGTACGGAGATTTGGTCCACAGGGCTTTCAAGGCTGTGAGCTTTTGCAAACAGATTGCCGGGCCTGGCCTTCAGGTGCCACTGAGTGGGTTTAAACTGATAACCAATCTGCTAATACTTAATGTCTAAACAATATTAAACCGTTTGTGGCTTCCATATACAATCTTCATAAATAGCATATATCTGCCCCATTTCACTAAAAGCCCTGGTCCGTTATTGGCACTCTCCTTCCTAACAGGACGTTTTGTCAGAATGGCCAAGTTGCCTCCTAAATACATTCAAATAATACTGCCTGCAATAACTACAGAACTTCTCCTCTGGGAAGAACTCATGCAGTTCCAGGACCTCCCAACTGCCTTCAGACCTGGCTGAGAGCAACAGAGCCCCTCACACTCACCGTGCCTGTGACATTCCCTTGTACCAAGCCCTCAACAAAGAACTGGGACTTGAACTCTTTGACAAAGCTCAGCAGAGACTCAAGGGAGAGGCCATCCATTAAAGCCCGGTACTTATCAATCATGGACCAACGGGAATATTCCAGGATTAAAAGCCGCACATCTCTGTACAGAGGGAAAAAGAAAATTAGTATTTGTTATGAGAATTAAAATTTTAGAATAAAGAAATATTTGGTCAACTTCCTGTGCAGTCTGTTTCAAAAAAGACAATTTCCATCACAATTTAAGATGGGAAAACAATATCAATTTAAAAAAAACATTTTAAAGTATATACTTTCTCTATTGATCTGTTCATGAATACTTGTAGCAGTGAACAAATCAAAGTAAAATGTTAAATACAAGAGTCAAGTTGCCAGAAAAATCAAGTTTGCCCAGTCATACACCAATTTAAACTAATAGCCTTCTGTACGCTGAGCTTGTAACTAATTTCAGCAGATTGCTTCAGCAGTCCTACATACAGACTAATTCAGTTGGAGTTAGAAATCCAATTAAGTCTATGAACTAAATCCCCAAACGATAGCCCAATTCTAACATGTCTGAAACCAACCTGGACACTGCAGGCCCATCTCCCACACTGAGCCCCTCAAACAAAACTCAAAGCCTGACATCAAGTCAATTCTGACCACAGAGTCGACTGGAGCAACCCTAGAGGGCAGAGTAGAACTCTTGTCAGTGGTAGGTTGGAACCACTGCCTTTTCTTTTAGTTAGCACTTCAACATAAGCCCATTTTGCCACCAGGGCTCCTGCACTGATCTTAGGAAGACAAATGCTTTCAGGCCCTCATAAATTGATACCATTTATACTCACTTGCCCAGAGTCTCGGGCTTAATGAGGATGTTAAAGTAAGTCTTCTTCAACTGTTCAGTTATCATCGTAAAGACAGCTGGTGTGGAACTGAATTCAGCTAAGTAGTCAATAATGAGCTGGAACAGTAGCTAAGAGGAAAAGAAAGAATCATTCTAAGTGGTGAAATATGGAAATCCACTGTTTTATGAGGGAAAAATGTTTCCCTTTGGTTTTACCAGGGGATCCACATGGGTCCAGGTGTCTGGGGGGAAAAAAATCTTCAAAAAACCATCTAATTTAAAATAATAATTTTCCCTTTTAAAATCATTTTGTGGGCATTTCTTTTCCTTCCATATGAACTTTAAAAAACTCATCTGTGGGATATGACGGAACTATTGAATTATGTGATATATAAATTACTTGCCAATCAAACTGTGGGGGGGGGGGACTTAACACTGTCATCAAGTTGATTCTAAACCACACAGGACTTCTAAGACTGTAAATCTTAAAAAAGCTGACTGCCACATCTTTCTCCCATAGAGAAGCTGTTAGATTTGAAATGCCAACCTGTCAGTTAGCACCATGAGGGCTTCAGATAGGGAGAAATACTGTTTTGTGATATATTGCCAGATACATCACACCAAACCCTCTTTAAAAATTTTAGTAGCACCATCTTATGTTTTCTAGCAATACAATCATATAATCTGCAATGGAAAAAACATTTTCTTTTCAAAACAAATGACCAAACATTTCATTTACTGAACTAGCCTAAAACTCTCCCACAAAAATGATGGATGAATAAAGGTTACTGTAAGTATCCTTAGCTTGTTCCTGGCTTTAACATTTGGCATTTCAACACTGAGTGTAATAGGTACAACTGTGATTTTTTTTTTTTATTAAAATTTTTAAGTAATTTCTTTCTACTACTCTTCCCTTACTTATTGGGAATGGACACTGAAATTTACTAAATTATATTTCACATTTGTCAGTTTATACATATTGTGTTTCTCCTTTAAGCTGCTTTATAATGAGCTATGGTCATCAATTTCCTAGAACTGAATCACTTGCATATCTGGTCACGGTGAATTAATCTTTTTGCTATATTGTTGGATTTAATTCTTTTAAAATGTTTGCATCTACAATCTTTATGTGAAACAGCTCTCTGGTTTTTTACCTAGAGAAGGTTTTATTATTTTAACAATTTTTATTGACATATAATTAATGTATCACATAATCTAATAGCTTAAATATATTAAAGAGTTGTGCAATCATTATCACAATCAATTTTAGAACTTTTTTTTTTTTTGCTTTTAGTAACTTCCATTTCTCACCAAACTAAAAAACTGTTAATCAAATTTTTGTCTCTATAGGTTTACCTATCTGGAATTTCACATTAAAAATAAAACCCAACAACAGAATAAGACATTGAAAAGCCTCAACCCAAAAGAGAACAGAAAGCAATAAAACCTAGACCAAGTTTAAAATGGGCCAAAGGGGAAAACAAATGGTAAGATATTAAATTCTAACCTAACTAAATCTGGGGACAATAAAATTCACATCTTGGTCAAAGACTAAGTGAATTCAATGGTGACTTAGTCTGTGTGGGGATTTTGTAAATGGATTTTGGGCATTCACTGTCAGCCATATAGCCTTCTACAAACTGGATGCTCAGAATTCATGTGCTAATATAGCTTCCCCCTCTGATAGTGGATTTTATAGTTAATATCCTTTGATGACAGTGGCTGCTGTGCCTTTTCCATGCAGACTTAGCTGACAACTCACTTTGAGTCAAGGCTAGTAAGATTCATAAAATGAATCATATTAATGGTCTGTATTTTTAAAAAGCTCTCCAAGTAATTTCAAAACATACTTCCTTAAATGACAACTACTGTATTAAGCTTCAACTACTGTATTAAGCTTCTACTTGTTAATATCTTAAATCACATTATATTTCATGAATGTTCTTGTTAGGTGCCATCAAGTCAGTTCTGATGCGGAGCACCCTATGTAAAACAACAAACACTACTCTGTTTGCAGCTTCCTCACAATTGTTAGTCTGAGCCCACTGTTGTAGCTACCATGTCAATCCATCTTGAAGATTCGAAAATCTTCCTCTTTTTAGTTGCCCCTCCTCCGCTTCACACCAAGCAACACCAGTTCCCGGAACTCGCCTCTCCAGACAACATGTCCTATGTATGTGAGACAAAGGCTTGCTTTCCTTGCCTTTAAGGAGCATTCCGGCTGTTCTTTTGTCAGTCCACGGTACTTTCGATATTCTTCACCGACACCACAATTCAAATGCATTGATTCTTCTTCAATCTTCCTTAGTCAGTGCCCAACTTTCACATGCATTTGAAGCAACTGAAAATACCATGGCTTGGGTGAGGTGCACCTTAGTCCTCTCAAAGGAACATCTTTGCTTTTCAATAATTTAAATGATTAACGAATAAGTACATTACTCTGGCAAAATTAAAATATTCTATGGTGCTACCTCCTCCTAAGACTAATCTTCCCTTCCTGGGAAAGAAGTATTTTTATAAAGGTGATTGTTTTACTCTTCTCTATGGTTTTTGGTAAAATATAGAATTGATCCCCACCTAGCAAATGTCTAACTTCTGGCAAGGTCCTTTCCACCTAGAACTTTCTTTCAGATACAAACCTAGTTCCTCAAACATTAATACAGTAACTATTTTACTCAAGAAACCTAGGTAATAACTTTGTTTGTTGAATACAATATATTATTTTACTTGGAATTTGATGATCTAAGCTTTTTAGTATCCCACGCTTTTGCTTTCCAAACTTTTATTTTTTGCTTGTAATTTAGTGTGAAATGGGTGAAGGTTTAGAGAGCAGATCATCATTTTTACATCTAATGCATATTTTGTTTCATTTATTCATTGAAATTCTCTCAGTGTGCCATCACTTATCCCCCTCCTCCTTTCTTTCCTAACCCTTGTACAAGTTGTCCTTGGGTGAATACTGCCCTTTTGATTTTGTATACTTGATTACTCTAAGGTTTGCATGGCCCAGTCATGTTATTGTTCCCCTTAGAGATCTGCCTGCTTATGAAGTTTTATGAAACATCTCTGGAGGACATTTCTTGTCAAGAGATAAATTTCAGACAAGATAAAGATATGCTTTTTAAAAGGCTCATAAACTTGTTAGAAAAACAAAATACAAGTACTTACAACGGAGGGGGGAAAGTACAAAAAAAGACACAGAAATGAAAATTTTAGTTTTAAATGAACATTGGACATTGTAGAACTGCTCCTACCTATCTATGGCTATAAACCTTTATGGGAATAGGTTGCCACATGAAGCAACTGGTGGATTCATACCATTGACCTTTTGGTTGACAGCTGAATGCTAAACTACTTCACCACCAGGGTTCCTTATTAATACTGCAGGTACTTTAAATTTATTGTTGCATGGTATGAAATTAAATTCAAACCTATCCTAAATGTCTGTGTTGGCTGCAGAAAAACTGATAGGAAATAGAAGTGAAAGTAAGCTCAAAGCAGGGGCTCTTTTTGCGTGCACTGCCAACATTTAATGAAATGTATGTTAATGTACTGCCCAGCAAAGTGAGAACACCTGTCAACAGTCAAGAAAACTCAAGATATACACATTAAACAACATTACCTGTTACTTCTTGCCATTCTTGGTGCTGGAAGGCCAGCAACTATATCTTAGAGCTCTATATAAGAGAACAGAACATCTGTACTTACAGGTAGTTTGTGGTTGAATCCTTTCACTCGAATAATTAAACCATGTTCTCCAGCTACCAGTTTATACTCCAGCTGTGCCACATCTGCTTCATAAGCTGGCTCCGCAAGGTTGTGGGTAAGGATGTTGACAAAGATATCAAAGAGGACCACACTGAGAAGTATAAAATGGGAATAGCATCAGCAGTTGGTAAGAAATGAAAGGATTTTTTGTTTCAATTTAAAGCAAGGAATTTAACTTTTAGAAAGGCTTTACTTTTCTACTCCAGTATATAAAACTATAAACTAAGAGTTCAAAGGTAAATGCACCTTAGGCCTGTAAACCCACAGGGACAGTTCTACTCTACCCTATTGGGCCTCTATGAACTGGAAACAACTCGGGACGTGCTGCAGTGCTGTGCTTCCCAACCCTTTCCATACCATACCTACATAGAAAATGATATCTGTACTACACAAGGAGTAAACAAAACTCCATTGATGTTCCATTTCAATGGTTAGTACACTAGACACAGAGCTTTGGGGGAAAAGTAAAAACAAACCAGTTAGCAATGTAGCATTAGTAATGACAGGATAAAAGGATAATTCAAAATAAAACAAAACACAATTTAGTTTTTCAATAAAAGTTATTTTCTAGAAATGAAGGCAATTCCTCCAGGTACAGGAATTGGAAGAGCGATACCAGGAGGGTGGGTGGAAGGTGGGGAGAGCGGGAAACCAATTGCAATGATCAGCACATAACTATACACCATCATCCCCCACTCCCTAAGGGGTTGAACAACAGAAACCACAGGGGAATGGAGACAGTTACTGGTGTAAGATATGAAAATAATAATAATTTATAATTTAACAAGGGGTCACTGTGGGGGGGGGGGAGCTGATACCAAGGGCTCAACAGAAAGTAAAGGCTTAGAAAATAATGATGGCAACATATGTACATATATGCTTGATACAATTGATGTATGAATTATTGTAAGAGCTATGAGAGCCCTCAATAAAATGATCTTTTAATTAAAAAAGAAAGAAGCTAGTTCCTTACTTTGCTGCAGACTTCTGTATCAAAGGTGAGATCAGATGAAAACGTATATATGCTGAGAAAAAAGAACGTCAATAAGAAAACATAATAATGCCAGAAAAGTTATAGCAAGCCTTTCCAAGAAAGCAGAATAGTTATGAACACTTCCAGAAACTTTTATAAGCTATTCAGGAAATATTAGAAATACCTTCCAAATTAAAAATGTGTTTGAGATAAGAGATATCCAATAAATGTCATCAAATCACATTTTATATGATTCAAAATTGTTTAAGTTTTCATTTCATAAATAAGAACAGAAAATAAATTTAAAAAAAACAATAGAAAGCTTGCATGATACATGACAAGGACTTTTAGAATCCATTTAGCTATATCCTAAACTTTTAAACTACAAAAAAAAGAGGTAGAGGGAAAACAGATAGGAGAGATTTCACATTTGTAGTGCTGGACTGGACTATAATGCCTAAGAAATATTTCCCTTGGGATGCATTTATCATAGCTGGTTTTTTAAAATAATGCTCAAATAACACCACTAATTCTTTAAGATAGCCTGATATTTGGCTCTATGTTTATATAACTGAAAGAAAAATAGCAGAACATAATTTCATTCTAGGTTAGAATCTTTAATCTTCTAATGGAATCTGGAGTATCTACAGGAATTTCTGTGACAGTACGGGAGCAGCATGTATCTGGATAGATAATATAGATAAGCCTAGAAAAAAAGTCTTTATTTCAAATAGAAAAGGAAGGGTAAAAAAGAGTATAACAAAAAAGATTTGTTATACTCATTTCACTTCCGTAAGGAAAATAAAACATTTTTTTACCTTTGGGAATTTTGAACTTGTTGTCTTTCTTATACCACAGGCAACCTTGTGGTGTGTTCACAATTTTAACAGGGTACTCTGTCTCAGGGCAATCAAAAGCCTTCAATGTGAAGTCCGTGGCTACCAAAAGAAGAGTAATTATTAATTCAGGTATTTGAAGAGGATTCCCATGATTTATACTTGGTTTCAGAAGTCTGACTTAGTGACAAAAATAAGCAACTCAAATACTGCAATTCAATAAATTAGTAGAAAAATTTTGTCTTCAATCAAATGAATTCTTGATAGCTAATAATTTGTCATGTTGAGTCACCTTTCACATTATGTTTTGCTCCCTTTCTCAAAGAAAATATTCAGCGAGTGACTTTCTTTGGTCAGGACAGTTGTATGGGAGGACTTTAAAAGGTTCACAGAGAATTTAATTATCTTTTACTTCAATTTCTCCATGAACTCTTTGAAGCAATTTGAGAATGAGCACACTCTTGAATGGGAATGCCTTCTGGCAACCACATGGCCATCTGAAACATTAGCAATGGTTGTCTCAAGCCCAAACTTGGCTTTTCAATTAATAAATTAAAAAAAAAGTATTTCATCAACATTTGTGGAACAAAAAGTTAATGTAGGGAAAATTAAAAGCAAAGGAGGGGAGCAGTTGGCTGTATTTATACATTAAAAAAAGAACTGGGTCACTTAGGATTGAAGTCTAAGAAATGAATTGTATTATCTAGAAATAATTTTTCAGAAAAAATTTTTTTAATATGGTGATATACAACTATGAATTCTTTTATCTAAATCAGTGACTTCCTTTTTTTTTTTCTCTAGCCCACAGTTAGTATAGGTTTTACATTACAAAACAGTGGACAGATAACACACATATAACCCATCTAAAACAAAGTTCTTTTTTTCCCTCAGGATGATTTTTTTTAACGATTATATTATTTCCTATGAATGATAGTATACAAAGCACAGGGTATTGTCTTTCTTTTTTTATAAGTTTTAACCTCGATTTTTATTGTATTATTATTTTTTTAATCATTTTTAAAATCACTTTATTGGGGGTTCTTCTCACAATCCATACTTACACCCATTGTGTCACATAATGACATAAGTTGTCATCATCATTTTCATTCCAATTGAGCCCTTGGTTTCAGTTCATTTCTCCCCTCCCCCACCATCATGAACCCTTGATAATTATATATTTTTCATGTCTTACACTGACCTCTGTCTCCCTTCACCCACTTTTCTGTTGTCCATCACCCTGGGAGGGGGTAATATGTCAATCACTGTAATCAGGTCCCCCTTTCTCCCCCACCTTCCCCTTCCCCTCCTGGTATCTCCACTCTCATTATTGGTCCTGAAGGGTTTATCTGTCCTGGATTCCTATGTTATGTGAGATCTTATCTGTACCAGTGTACATGCTCTGATCTAGCCAGATTTGTAAGGTAGAATTGGGGTCATGATAGTTGGGGGGGAGGAAGCATTAAAGAACCAGAAGAAAGTGTGTTTCAACGGGGCTAAATACTGCACCTTGACTGGCTCATCTCTTCCTTGTGACCCTTCTGTAAGGAGATGGTCAATTGTCTACAGTTGGGCTTTGGGTCTCCACTCCACCCTTCCCCTCATTCACATTGAAAATAATATCCGTTCAATATATGAAAGAACTTCAAAAAATAATTGATAAAATAGAATTACAAATAATGGGATTTCTCCACACACTTTTTGGAGTCCCTCCCACGCCCCCTGCACATCTGCACACTCCTGCCCCAAACAATGAAACATTCTGCTACTTTCCAGTCTAGTTGGGTTTTTGTTTTTCTAGTTCGGTTTTTAAAAATACTTTTTATACTCAATTACATTGATTTGAAACACTATTTGTATACCCATTACATTAATTACACGATCCTTTAAAGGGGTTGCAACCTGTAGTTTTAGAAACACTAGAATAGTTTGATAAGATAATTACAATTCCTAAGGAAAGTGGCTTATGGGGTGGGATCATCTATGATGGTGAAGAAAAAAATTTGAGTTTCACAGAATCTTTGAATTAGGATTTAAGCCATGGTTCCTCGGTTCACCAATTCAATAGTCTTAGCCAATCACTTTATTTTTCTAAACTTTAAGTTTCCTCATTTGGAAAAGTAAACTTAACAAAACAAAAAAAGCTCAAATTTGAATTTAACAAGCTCAAATACAAATTTTATAAATTTATATTTCATAAAACATAATATACTACTATATAAGTGGGTGTTTTTCAGTACCCAGATGAAGCATATGAAGTGATTATTATTTCACTGACCTATGTACTTGTTTTCAGCTGGAAGATGTAGTTCTGGATTCAATTCAAAATTACTACTCCACAGTTCAGTCCAAGAGGTTTCAATTTCTGTGGAGAATTAAAAACAAAAACAAAAAACTGACCTAGTAAAAGATGCAATTATCTCTTAATAACAACCCAATCATCAAAAGGCCTTCACAAACCAATTCTTTTTAATAAAATCTTGTTCTCAAAGTGTGGTCCCTGTAGCATCGATAACATCTTAGAGTTTGTTAGAACTGCAGCATCTCAAGCCCCACGCTAGACCTACTGAATTGGATTCTATTTTACTTAGGTCTTCAGGAAATACATATGCACACTGACATTTGAGACATTTTTCTCAGTAAATAGTTTTTAAAATTCTGCCACCAAAAAGTCAAGGAAACAAACAGGACCTTTCACTCCTTATTATATGTTATATAAAAAGAGTAAAAACCAGGTTACTTCAAAGTAATACAAGCAGTTTTCATGTCAAAATACAGTTTTTTAATTATACTTTTTGTTTAGGTGTAAAAATTATTGCAATGTGAAAATCTCAGGTGAGTCCGACACATCTAAGTATAGGAAAATTGTTCAAATATTTACCTTGCATACTATACTGAGTCCCAAACCACTTCTCCTTGAGGTCACAATTTCCCTCATTAGCACCAGACAGAAGAACAAGATTTGCTTTTTGAGGAACTAGCTGATTAAGGGCTTCGGCAATGACCTAATATAGGGGTAGAAGAGGACACAAACACAAAACAATTTTAATCCAATACATTTCTAATTGAATGGTAACCCCAAGATCTTAGCAACCTGAGCTCATAGTACCTATAGTTCAGGTGTTCAAATTCTCAAAGCTTCATAAATATATCAATGTCTTCATATTTCATAATAATGCGACAAACAGGGTTCAACTCAAATCCTACAAACCAACAGTACTAGCAAAAAGTCTGTCATTTACTGAGCCTTTACTATATGCCAGGCAGTATACAACACACGTTATTTCATAGAATCCTAAAAAAAAAAAAAAAAAGCCTAAGGTATACACATTTTATCGGAAATGACAATTGGCTTCAAGAGGTAAATGTTTAAATAATTAACTTAAAAATTAAGTTGAACAGAACACTGAAGTGGCAAGATATAACTCTACCTAAGTTTTAGATACTGTTTTTTTAAAAAAAAAACGTTCTTAACCACCATGTATTATTTATGTATTTTTACTAATTCTTGGGTATGTACAGGCAGTTTCTGGGTTACAAACTCTGACTTCCATATAACCCAAGTTCTAAACTGGCCCCTTTATGTCTTTCCTCAATGCAAATCAAGGGGTGGTGCAAAGGAAAGGGTGGAATGGTGGCCTAACTCCAGACTCAGCCTGCAGCAGATAAGCAGATGCTCTCTGAACCCACTTGGTCCCTACCCCATTTCAGAAGCTGGGGGCCTACTGGGAATACAGGACATGTAATGCAGGCAGTGGGTTGGCACCTCTCCCACAGTTGTCATTCTAGTACTAACTAGAATGGCAACTCCCTGTGGATGGGCAGTAAGTAAGGTGGCAGGCAAGGACCCAACTTCACTATGAACTATTTGGCCAGGCACCACTTGACCACAATCAAGAGGCTGAAAGGGATAGATCTGAATTCAAGCCTGAACCTGATACCAATTTTTTGGGTTACCCAAAAGACTGGGGCAACATACAATCAATAGTAATAATAAGTGATTGTTACCTTCTAATACATGCTAAAACATTTTTATTATTATATTAGTGTTTTTATATCTCTAGAAGTATTTTTTAATGCATAGAAAGGCACACTATATATGATCCAGTAAGACAAACATTTGACTAACTAATGAAGATATGAAATGATTCATCATAAAGATTAACTTAAATATTGAACTTGTGGATTGAAAAAAAAAAATTGAACTTGTTTGTAATCTGGATACTGCTTGTACCTCATACCCAAAGATTAGAAAAATATTTAAATCTCAAATTGAAAGGCTTCCTTCAACAATCTCTTAATTATGAAATTAACTAAACTCAGGATTTTATGGCTTAGATTTAGATGTCAATTACCATGTAACATGATTTCTGCTAGAAAAAAATGGTGGATTTGGAAGAAAAAAATTTAGAGCCCTGGGCACAACCATTTGGAGTAACAATGTATCTTCCTCGCTTTAAAATAAAATCATTTTGGAATACCTTATACCAAGGTTTCTCAATCATAGCACCACTAAAACCTTGAGTTGAATAATTCTTTGTTGTGGGGGACTATTTTCTGCATTGTAAAATATTCACCCTTTACTCACTAGATGCTAATAGCACCTACTGAGTTACATCTACCTAAAATTATCCCCATACATTGACAAATAGTCCTTTAAAAAGTGAAACTACCTTGGGTGGTCTTTGCCCCATAATGAGGAAGATTCAAAAAGTTCATGGAAAAATAGAATTAAATGACAATGGAATTTTTCCACAAACTTTTTGAAGCCCTTCTTTTTTTTTTTTTTTTTTCAGGCTTGAATTTTTATTTTATGTACAAATCGTTGGCATTGCTTCTTCTTTTGGGTAGCGGTCTTGGATTGTCCATCCAAAGATAACTAGCCCTTCTTATGAAGTAATATGATTTGCTCCTCAAGTGTAGTGAAGACCCTGACCAACTATTTCTAATTCAGGGAGTTTTTTTCTTTCTTATTTGGTAAATATCTTCAATACAATTAATTGTTTTACATTTAGATAATTCTTAATCTCCTCTTAAATTAAAAGGTAAATTTAAAACACTGTTGAGTATGATCAATTAAACCACAAAATTCTTCAGAATTACTTTAACTATTTTAGATATTTCAACACTCAAAAAGAAAATTTGATTTTCCCCTTTTCATACTAAAATGTAATCATGCAAGAATCATTAAAACTAATCCATAAAACTATTAATAGTTCTTATATTCATGAAAACAAAATAAGCTGGTTTAGCATAAGCAAGTTTTCTTCATTTCATAGTTCATAGGTACATCCCTATACTTTTTCATCATCCTCATCCCTAAGAGCAAATTTTAGAAATTTACTTACATCTGGATGATATTCAAAAAGAAGTTGATCTCCAGTGAGAAAGTCTTGCATTGGGTACAGCTGCATGTTTTCACAAATGTTTTCCACATACTCAACTGGATCTGTCTATAAAGAGGCAAACTTATTTCACAACAGGCCCTGGTAATTACACATAAATTATCACAGCATAAATTACAAAGCATTAAAAAAAACCTGAAAGTTTCCAAATAAATATACCCAAATACCTCAATAGTTATAGCTTAAGAATCTGATATTAAGAATTAAACAGTATAGATTGTGATGAGAGTTGTATGAGCTCCTAATAAAATGATTTTTAAAAAAAAGAAGAATTAAACAGAGGATGGGGAAATAGATCTATGTGTACATATTTATAGGTTTAGTATTAAGGTAGCAGATGGACACTGGGCCTTCACTCAAGTACTCCCTCAATGTAAGAATACTTTGTTCTATTAAACTGGCATTCCATGATGCTCACCTTCCCAAGACGATTGCTGAAGACAAAAGCGGGTACATAAGCAAATGTGGTGAAGAAAGTTGCTGGTGCCCGGCTATCAAAAGATATACCGTCTGAGGTCTTAAAGGCTTGAAGGAAAACAATAGGCCATCTAGCTCAGAAGCAACAAGGCCCACATGGACGAAGCACACTAGCCTGCGTGATCACGAGGTGCCAAAGGGATGTTATTAGGCATCAAGGAACAAAAAAATCACATCATTGTGTGCTCACCTCCCTGACGCGATCGCTGAAGACAAATGGGTGCATAAGCAAATGTGGTGAAGAAAGCTGAAGGTGCCTGACTATCAAAAGATATAGCGTCTGGGGTCTTAAAGGCTTGAAGGTAAACAAATGGCCATCTAGCTCAGTAGCAATAAAGCCCACATGGAAAAAGTACACCAGCCTGTGTGATCACAAGGTGTCAAAGGGATCAGGTATCAGACATCAAAAAACAAAAAATCAAATCATTGTGAATGAGGGGAGTGCAGATTGGGGACCCAAGACCCATTTGGAGGCAACTGGACATCGCCTTATAGAAGGGTCATGGGAGGAAACAAGCCAGTCAGGTGCAGTGTAGCAATGATGAAACATACAACTTTCCTCTAGTTCCTAAATGCTTCCTCAACCCCCACTATCATGATCTCAATTCTACCTTACAAATCTGGCTAGACCAGAGGATGTACACTGGTACAGATAGGAACTGGAAACACAGGGAACCAGGACAGATGATCCCTTCAGGACCAGTGCCAAGAGTGGTGATACTGGGAGGGTTAAGGGAGGGTGGGGTGGAAAGGGGGAACTGATTACAAGGATCTACATATAACTTCCACCCTGGGAGATGGACAACAGAAAAGTGGGTGAAGGGAGACATCAGACAGTGTAAGATGATAAAATAATTTATAAATTATCAAGGGTTCATGGTGGTGGGGGGGGTAGGGAGGGAGGGGGGAAAATGAGCTGATGCCAGGGGCTTGGATGGAGAGCAAATGTTTTGAGAATGATGAGGGCAACGAATGTACAGATGTGCTTGACACAATTGATGTATGTATGGATTGTGATAAGAGTTGTATGAGCCCCCAATAAAATGATTTAAAAAAAAAGAATTAAACAAAAAACCATGAGCTACTAACTTAAGTTTAATTTCCTTACACCCAGTCTGAGTTCTATAAGACTCTAGGTTTTAGATATGTCACAGCCTCTTCACAAAACAATTACCATATTCAAGTGTAAATACATGCCAAGAGCCCCTACAGGGCTGTGAAGTACCCAAACACAGGGTCTTCAAGAATAAATTACAGTCCTACCGCTTAAAAATTTTTTGTAAGCATGAACCAAATAATTGTAAAAGCAAAAATATTAGTGTCTTTTAGAGTATTGTGATAATCATAATTAGCATATTGTCTTAATTTAAAAGTCAGTGACTAAGTTCTCTGACTTAAAATGAAATTATTCGCCCCTCTCACCCCACAAAAGTAATAATTCAAGTATTGACTGGGTTCCCAGATACACAGAATCTTAAAATGACAGGTCTTTCAGAAATCAAGGACCTACTTCCATGAGTCACAAGTGAAGACATACACTCAGAATGAAGTGATGTGCTAAACAAACACTAAAATTCCAGTCTCCTAAAATAATCAGCTGGGAGCCCTGGTGGCTTACGGTGCTTTGGGCTGTTAACTAAAGGGTCATTAGTTTGAACCCACCAGCTGCTCCACACACGAGAAAGACAACACAGTCTGCTTCTGTGAAGTGACAGCCTTGGAACACTGTGGAGCAGTTCTCCTCTGTCATATAGGGTACTATGAGTTCAAATAACTATGGTAATAGATTTGGTTTTGTTTGAAAATAACAGCAAATGCTCTTTCCACAACACCACACTGCCTAGTTAGACAATTTGAGTTGTTCTCATCTAATAGAAAAAAAGTGAAGTTACTGCATTCATTAAAAGATGAGAGGTAAACTAGAGGTCATAGGTACACATTGACTACTATATCATATAAGCACATTTAAAAAAACCCACAACCACCACTAAACCCCCACTGCCATTGAGCCAATTCCATTTCATAGTAACCTTATGCAGTCTGTAAATCTTTCTCCTGTGAAGTAGCTGGTGGGTTTGAACAACCCAACTTGTGATTTGCAATCCAATCCTTACTGGACAAGGCCACCAGAGCTACTTATCACCAAATAATAGAGTAATGAAAAAAAGTAAGGAAAGATAAGATTCACTGCTACTTTTTGGGTTTTGCTGGTGATAGGTTTTTTACTCTATTTCAATAAACATTTCTGAATCAACAAGTTAACTAGTAATTAATGTGTTATTATTGTCTAAAATGATTCCTCCTATCCTGTTCTAATTTCTTTAACCAATTATTTTCAGTAGCCATTCAATTCTAAGTTAACCGCTCTAATCAATGTGTTGTAAAACTGAGCAAATCAAAGTATTTCCTATGAGAAAACACTAAAAACCTCACCAAAAACAGGTATGTAGTGCCAAGGCAATGGAGAAGGCATATTGTGGGTGGTGGGGTTCAATACAATCCTTTGAGAAAAGTTAAAATACTAAAATTGACCTTTTGGGTGTACAGTTAATTGGATTTACATTCAAAATTATGTATTTGCACCAATTTAGCAATAATTTCAGAATTTTCATCAACCCCAAAAGAAACTCTGTAGCCATAAAAAGTCAGTCCTATTCTCCCCTTCACTCACCCACTGGTAAACACTAATCTATTTTATCTCTCTACACATATGCCTGTTCTGGACATTTCACACAAGTGGAATTATATAATCTGTGGCCTTTTATGCCTTGCTTCTTTCGCTTAGCATGTTATCATGGTTAATCCATGTTGTAGCAGAATGACCCATTAATTAATGATACTAAGTTGTTGCTACTTTTACCTACTATGAATAATAGGTATAAATTATGAATAATAATGTTATGAACACTTGCATCCAAGGTTTTAGGTAGACATAAGAGTACGTTGTCAATTCTCTTATTGACATAACTAGAAATGGAAGTTGTGAGTCTGAAGAATGACCAGTTTCCGAAGATGCTGTGCCAGTTTATATTCTTTTAAGTAATGTGTGAGGGTTCTAATTTCTTTACAACTTTTCTAATACTTTTTTAATATCTAATTTTTTGTGTCCAAAATTACAAACTCTCAATGCCTTGAATTACTAATTACTACATTATTATTCCTGCTTCTCTGCCTACTGAAAAGTACTAAACTAAATAACTTTCTCATCATTCTCTAGGTTTAAATTGCTTATTTCTACTACATACAGCTGGAAGAGAAGCCAAGTTCCGGTGAGAAATACAACTTTTAAATTTCTTAATTGAGAATTAATAATATAGAATAGTTTGAATAACACATTCCTATTTGCCTTTATTGTTGAATGCCAAAAAGAAGTCTGGAGAAATTCTTAAATTGCTTCAAACGGAAATTATAAAATAGAAATAAGTTAAGCGACTGTAGTTAATTTAATATTTCATGCAGATAAAGATTCTCCTAATTTGTTCTAACTTTCTAATAATGAGGCTTTAGCTTACGATGTTTTGAGCTCATTCTTTTCAATGAAGGCAAGTAGTAATGAATACTGTCGACTTGCAGAGGAGTTGGGAATTAAAAACTACTAATGAGATGAAGTCAATAAAGAGACCTTGAAATGTCTTCCAAAGAAGGAACTGGAGAAACTCATACAACAGAGGAGACAGCATAGGAGTTAATGGCTTATAGTTTTGACCTTGTTTTCATGTAGTAATATGTATTCAGAGAATGGTTGCTAGTGATGATCCATAGCTATCTTTGAATATGCTTTATGAACTGGTTCTAAACCAGGAGTTCTTAATCTAGAGAGTATGCACAGCCGCATAAGGTTGTCAGTGGACAAATTCAAGGGGCCATTGAATTTCACTGGGAAGAAATTACAATTTTTACTTTCAGTGACCTCTTACTTTTTCTTTTGTTTATGCATATAAGCAATAAACCATAGTATTAGTTGTATCTGTGACTTCATTGCCAATAGAATCAAAGATATTTTTGTATCATGATGTATTTGAAGCAGTTATCTTAAAACATCATTTATATCCAGTGCTATTTCAAAATTGTGCTAATGATTAGGCCTACTGCTAGACTTCAGGGAAAATGATCTTCTTTCCTTAAATCCCAAAATACACTGTTTCTAACACTACATATGGTAATAAATAACCTTGTAGAATATCTTTAAAATATTTTAATTCCCCAAATATCAAATACCATAGTCAGTCTTTATAAATATTTATTGCAGGGATGAGCAGATGATTGTCACACAATATGATCTATGTTTATATGCTTAATCCTCTTATGGATATACAATATAAATACTCAAAAACACAAGAGTTAACACTTTCAGAAAGCCTTAAGTTTGGCTTTAAAATAACATGACGAAAGAAGCAGAATTAAAAATCCAGTGAAACTTCAAAAGGAGAGAAACAAAGTCCATCCATACCAGTTACAGATAGCATTCGATAAGAACTTGATTTTCAATACCTGTTCTTGGTAATGAAATTCATTATCCTCAATTTTCTGAATCTCTTCAAAAATTCTGTGAGAGAAGTAAAATTTTAAATGGCAGATATATTGAAAATTTTCCCTAGAATCATCAGCGAGAGGTATGAAAATATAGGAACTACCAAGTAAACAAAACCTCTAGTGCACTCACATGTAGAAAAGTAACGATACAGAGCTGGTAAATAAAACTGCCTGAAAACCATCAAGGCTGGATAAGTGCATGGCTACTGACACTCTTAAGATTAAAAGGTACTCCTGGCTTCATTTTAAGAGTATTTATTACCTTTTGTCTGGGCCTAGCGTCTGTAGCATTTTTAAATACTGGAAGACAGTATGAGCAACCTAAAAACAAAACATCTGGTTAATTTTCTACATTATGTGACACCTACAAATTTTTTAAACCCTCCATTTTACTTATTTACCTCATAGAAATGCTCATAACCTTCATCAGTCAATGTTATAGAAATGCTGAACACGGAATATGTAGAATTTTGCTCAAACCCCGTCTCACCATTTCCACCAAAAAGTGCAAGAGCCCAGCACCTACAGAAAGAAAAAATTAACCTGGTTATTATATTGGGATTGATAAATCTACAAAGCCTTCAAATTAGAAAATGGATAAGCTGTCTATATAAAATCTAGAAACCAAAGCCTTTGATGTAAAAATCTACTTTTCGACAGTAAGTTTAAATGGACAAATACAAAAAGCACAGTCTCCCAAGGAACCGTAGTAAATACAAAAGCCAGCAGAAATTCCTATTTATTTGTTTAATGGAAACACTAATACTCATTTTGACAAAGTAAAACATTACCAGTTTTATGAAGCCATAGTAATTCTTATTAAGAAATGAATAGCACAAAATAGTAATAATATTGCTGGGATGCATTTTAGCATCCTTTTCTGAACATATCTACATATTGAAGATTGTTCCTAATGCCACATTTTTCTTCATGTAATGAAGCTTCTCTGATGATTTGCTCAGCATACAGACTGACTAAGCATGGTGAGAGGATACAACTCTGACACACACCTATCAGGATTATAAATCATGCAGCATTCCTTTGTTCTGTCCCACTTGATTCGTGTACAGGTTGCACATGGCACGATGAATGAAGTGTTCTGGAACTCCCATTTTTCTCAAAGTTATCCATAGTTTGTTATGTTCCACAGTTAAATGCCTTTGCGGAGTCAATAAAACACAAGTAAACATCTTTCTGGTATTGTCTGGTATCAGCTAACATCCATCTGACAACAGCAATCATATCCCTTGTTACAAGTCATCTTCTGAAGCTTGCATGAACTTCTGGCAACTTCTTCAATGTACTGCTGCAACTGTTGTTGGATGCTCTGCAGCAAAATTTTACTTTTATGTGCATCAATGATATTGTTCTATAATTTGTACATGCTGTTGGGTCACCTTTCTTTGGAAGGGTTACAAATACGGATCTGTTCCAGTCAGCCAAGTTCCAATCTTCCAAATTTCTTGGCATAGACCAGTGAATGCTTCCAATGTTTCAGCTAGTTGAAACATTTCAACAATCCTATTCTATCAATTCCTAGGGCCTTTTTTGGCTTACGCTTTCAGTGCAGCTGGAACATCTTCCTTCAGTACAGCTGGTTTTTTTGTCATATGCTACTTCTTGAAATGGTTGAATGTAGACTCTTTTTGGTACAATGATTTTCTTGAATTTTTTCTGTAGTTCTTTCAGTTTAAAATTGAGAATAACAAGGCTTTTTATGGAAAAGCTTTAAAACACTTCAAATATCTAAATATCTTTCCTATTTAGATAGTCAACTGAGTTCCTTGAGACTATCAACTAATCTATAATATAACACAAATTCAAAAATCTAATGAAGTTCAGTAAGGTAGAGATGGGGCACAACTCAAAGCATTTTATGCTATTTGTATAAGGCATATATGTGTTCTCAATTTTCTTTGACATGTTCTAATACACATCAATGTTTTAAAGTATTTATTTACATTACTCATCTATCTTTAAACGCTCAAATTAATTCGTGCATGTAAAATAAAGCAGTGACTCTATCAGTCTTGATCCCAAAGTTATATTCACTTATTTGGCTGCAGACAACTTAAGTGGGTGGTACTCATACGCATTAGGAAATACTCTGCTAGCATGGCTGCATAAACTGTTTGCAGTTTCACGAATGATCTGTTCAGTAAGTTTCAGTTAAAGTCTGTGTTTTGCAGGAAGAGCACCTAGGGATTTATAGCATATAAATAATTTACTCCTTATGATTCAGGCAAATCTAAATTTGTGCCTACAGTTTACATTTTTATGCAAATCTGGAATCTTTAATTTATGGTTTTAAAACTATTGTTGATAACTACTTTCAATAGGGGCTTGGAAGAAAATATACAAAACTAAAATGTCTATTCAAACAGTCTAGGCTATTTTTTTTAATCGTTTCATTGGGGGCTCATATAACTCTTATCATAAGCCATATATACATCAACTGAGTAAAGCACATTTGTACATTCGTTGCCTTCATCATTCCCAAAACATTTGCTCTCCAATTAAGCCCCTGGCATCAGCTCCTCATTTTACCCCGTCCCTCCCCACTCCCCCCCCTCTCATGAACCATTGATAATTTATAAATTATTATTTTCTCATATCTTACACTGTCCTTCACCCACTTTTCTGTTGTCCACCCTCCCAGGGAGGAGGTTATATGTAGATCCCTGTAATTGATTCCCCCTTTCCACCCCACCCTCCCTCCACCCTCCTGATATCACCACTCTCGGTACTGGTCCTGAAGGGATCATCTTTCCTGGATTCCCTGTGTTTCCAGTTCCTATCTGTACCAGTGCACATCCTCTAGTCTAACCAGATTTGTAAGGTGGAATTAGGTTCATGTAGTGGGGGGCATGGAAGCATTTAGGAACTTTCTAGAGGAAAGTTGTGTTTCCTCGTTGCTACACTGCAACCTGCCTGGCTCGTCTCCTCCCTGCAACCCTTTCGTGAAGGGATGTCCAGTTGCCTACAGATGGGCTTTGGGTCCCCACTCCGCACTCCCCCTCAGTCACAATGATATGATTTTTTGTTCCTTGATGCCTGATACCTGATCCCTTCAATACCTCGTGATCACATAGGCTGGTGTGCTTCTTCCAAGCGGGCTTTGTTGCTTCTGAGCTAGATGGCCGTTTGTTTACCTTCAAGAGTTTAAGACTCCAGACGCTATATCTTTTGATAGCCGGGCACCATCAGCTAGTCTAGGCTATTAAAGTGACTGAATTAAGCATTAAATTTCATTCTAGGCCTCTTATCATATAATAAAAGGAGAATAAAATGACTAACATATAATAATATTGTTTAATATTTTCTGAGGAGTCTAAACTAAAAGTACTTTTTAATTGAACACTTACTTTTTTCTAAGATAAGAAAGAATGCTGCCTTTGCCTTCATGCCCAACCAGCCAAGAGATATAATGAAGTGGTTTCACCCTTAAAAAAAAAATTTTAAGGTCAGAAACAAAAATTAAGGTAAAAATGCACCATAAAAATGTTCTCTTTAATAATAAAATATTTGAGAATAAAATAAATTTACACACACATAAATGCATCTAAACAAAAGTTTAACAATTTACCAGCAAGTTAAATTTAGAAAAAGTAGTAAACTTTAACTTCCTTCATCTGAAAAATGATTCATCTGTCTGCAAAGGCAGATTGTCTGTCTATTGTCATGTAAAATGCCTGTGCTGAGTAAGGAAAATCTAGATTCTCGTTTTAGTTTATTTTCCTTTAAATAAATGAAGGACGTGGAGTAGGAAAATTGATCTTTTTTTTCTTTTCTTGCCTACCTACTCCTATAGGTTTTATGAAAATGCTTTATTTTATGTACTACAATAGTTCTGAGTAGCTGTATATATATTATTCCAATTGTCTTTTCCCATTGGCTTCCACTATAATTTTGGAAATGCATGCTTATTAAAATAGAAGTGTCTTGAAAACTAAGTTTTTAATCTAAGCATTCTTAAATTTCAAAATTAGGTTAGAGAATTAAATTCAGTAAATATTTGAAAGTCAAGATATAATATGATCTCAATTATTTGAAACAATTCCAAAAGCTCACACAAAATTACTAAAATAGAAGTTTAAGTTATATATGTAACAAGACTAGTGTAAAAGGACAAAGAATATGATGAATGAACCTAGATATACAACAATTATACCTGAAGGAAACTAATTTCACTACATAAAATAACTGTGGAGGAATGAACACTGTGCTTTTGGTAGAGGGAGGGTGAATCCCCCAAAATCTATTAGAAATTCACTTAATTGGGAATTCAAAATGGCTTCACGATAAAAGTCATGTTAAATAAAACAAAACAACCGTCCATAAAAGCTTCACATGAAAAGAAAACAACAACAGCAAAATTATCGTTTCATTTTTTTAAAAGTTAGTCTGATTAGAAACACAAAAAAGTTAGGCTATCTTTGGAGAGAAGAATCATGATTTTTTTCATCTTTTTTCAGCTTGATTGAATTTTCTAACATACAAGTAACAAAATTTTTTTCAGGGCTCAAGTAATACATAGTAATCTTTCTTTGTACACTTGTCCTTAAGTTTTTTGTTATTGGTAGTAGTTTCATCGATTGTTAAATTTTTATTAGTGTATTCAATTTACGTATTAACATTTTTCTAATGAGAAAATCATCTATATAGTGTTTCAAAAACTGCAACTATGCTATAGTCTTCATAAAAGATAACTATGAGGGGCTTTAAAAAGTGTGTAGAAAAAACACCATTTTGAATTTGGTCTCTACGAATTTTTGAAGTCCCCTTTTAATAGATAAATTAAAATGTTTTCCTAATTTTTATAAACCTACCCTAACTTATAAAAGTTCTTGGGATATATACTCCAATTATATGGCAGCCTCAGAACGACTCAATTTTACTGTTGATAAGATTAAATCAAAGGGTTTCCACTGTTTAAATAAATAAATAAAAGGGAAAAAAGAGAGAAAAAAATAAATAAAAATAAATAATAAAACAGCTCATGTAAGCAAGGAGCATAAAAAAACAAACAAAAAACAAAGGATTGCCACTGTCAAATCATTGTTGTTGTTAGGTACCCATACATAGCAACCCTAATAAATCATTAGTTAATATTATATGTTTGTACTGACAATACTACAGAAAACAACTGGAAACATTAGTATTGACAATATGATACTTCATTTCAATATGTGACAAAGGCAACTAGTTTTAAATAAAGAACTTTTGCTAAAAAAAGACATCAAAATATATAAAAGCCCCAACAATAGTTAAGTCCTAATTAATCAAATTACCTACATTTATAAACTTAGAACTCCCAATTTAAAATATTTAGCATGCTTTAAGAAAACAACTAATGAAGTAATAAACTTGTCCTTGAATACTTACCTATAATGTTGTTGTTGAGGGGGAAGTGCCCATGTGATTGTCAGAGCATGAATTTTTCTGATTGGAACCACTAAAAAATATTTTTCAGAAAAACAAATATAAGTATTCCTCTATAACTTTTACTGTATTGCAGAATGTTTTCTTCACCTTTTTCTAATATATTTTGTCTAACAGTACACAGAAGATATACATACAATGCACTTATTACGTATTTTAAGTTGCCAATTTCCCAATTTGACTACGCAATTTTTATAAAATTCTTTTAGATTTGTTTCATGGGTAGAAGTAAGGATAAAAGAACTATGAGAATATATAATGCTGTTAAGAGTGAATCTCTTGTTGCAAGAAAGGAGCTGGCACCAAGAGTCAGGAGACCCAGTCTAAATCCTGCCCTACCACCATCTTACTGTAGGGGCTTAAATGACCTTAAGGAAATCCCTTACAATGAAATGTTTCTGAATCTGTTCCTTTAAGGCAAAATAAGTGGGTTGGGCTAAATTATCTCTAAGACTCTTCCCTGTGCAATTATTCTTTGATTAACTAAATATGAGATCCGAAGTTGTACTGGGAAGAAGCTTAGAACAGAACTGATGTGACAAAACAAGTCCTTGATCAAAGGAAGAAAGTGACTGGCAACAGGAAGAGGTGGAACAGCTAGGCAATTGACAGAGAGACGAAAAGTCCCATAATTGAAGCAGCCTCAGTTTTAGAGACTGTAATATAGTTATTTCAAACCATTTTAAAGCTTTGGGGTTTTATTTTTAACGAACCTCTATAAAGTTTGTTAAATGCTGGTGTGTCAAATGGCTCCATTAAATGGCCAAAGTTTGGTTTGGATAACCCACTGAAAAACAAAAACAAAAAATAATAGATTACAATTAGCAAACACCTTTATAAGCATTATCTTTAGGGATATCTAGCCAACAGGTATTTATAATCTATTCTATAGATACACAGCTTTAAAGTATTCTAGACAGCAAATTCCCAAAACCCTTATTCCACAACCTATTATTAACCTCAGCCTCAATAACTCAGTGGCTTTAAAACATAAAAGAAAGAAGATAATGGACTGAGGTGACCCACTCAAGATTTACTGCATTTATAAGCCCCTTTCAACTATACTTTTCCTTTCAGTTATTTTCCAAAGAAAACGTACACTGGAGGGAAAAAAATGTATTCAACAAATATATATTGAGTTATAAGGTATAAAGCACAATATGAAACATAAAGCATTATCTTGGGTCCTCTGGTATCTAAAAGATATGATCTCTCTCTAAAGGTACTTCTAATCTGATTGACAGATATTATAACTTTTAAATTTATTCCACATAAAAAACACAAATTATTATCTGGGAAAAAAAAAAGAACATAAATTAGTATTAAGGAGACTTTTTAACTTCTCTCTTCAAGGGATCAGTTATAAAATATATCTTACAATAAAGAACTAGTAAAACTCACACAGGTAACTCATTTATTTTTACTAAAACATAAACTGCTAAGGGTGAGAAGAAAGATTTTCATGATGAAAAATTGTGTACTTTGTTAACAAAGATGTAGCAGTATTATTTTGATTAATAATTTGAAGTTAACAAAAAAATACTTAATAGTAAGGGAGGGAATAAAGAGGAGCTGATATCAAGGGGCTCAAGGAAAAAAATGTTTGGAAAATGATGATGACAGCATCTGTACAAGTTCATGTTATGTAATTGATTTATGGACTGTTATATCTGTACAAGTCCCCAATAAAATGATCAATTCAGAAAAATACTTAATAGTATTTCTTAAAAATCATTTTATTGGGGGCTCTCTTACAGCTCTTATAACAATCCATACATGCACATTTGTACATATGTTGCCATCATTCTTTTCAAACCATTTTCTTTCTCCTTGAATCCCTTGATATCAGCTCATTTTTCCCTCCCTCACGAACCCATAATAACTTATAAATTATTCTTTTCCTTCCACTCTCTCCCTTCACCCACGTTTCTATTGTTCATCCTCTTGGGGAGGGGCAGTTATACATCAATCATTGCGATCAGTTTCCCCTTTTTCCCCCCATGTTCCCCCTACCCTCATGGTATCACTACTCCCCTTATTGTTACTGAGGTGTTTATCTGTCCTGGATTCTGTGTGTTGAGAGCTCCTATCTGTACCAGTGTATATGCTCTGGTCTAGCCAGATTTGTAAGATAGCACTAGGGTCATGATAGAGGGGGCTGAGTGTGGTAGTTACATAATCTGGTGTCAATATGAGGATTAAGAGTGTAGGGGTGGAGTCTAATCTGTCAATCGGGTCATAGCCAATGAGGCCTCTGTGTGGGCATGGCCTTCTCCTGAGGATACTGGGAACTCCTTTATTTCTTCCTTGGAGGCAAGAGACACTCTCTCTCTAGGCTCACTCCCTGTGAGACATTCTGAAGAGAAGCCACATGAAGCTACCCTGAGGCAGTCAGACTTTCAGAGCTGAAGGAACCACTTGGAGACCCCTGCCAGTGCTGAGATGCTTACAATGCCACTGGATCCACAAGACTTCCAACCCCCTGGCCTGTGATATTCCTGCATTCGGCAGCAATGCATGTGACTATATAGATTGTTATCGGGCACACGGGCTATTATCAGACATGAACTTGAGCTAGACTGTGTTGAGATGTTTTCTCAATATTTAACTACTATTGTATATAAAGCTCTTCCTCTTTTTTCCATTTCTTTTGTTTGTTTTTTTAATTGTTTTATTAGGGGCTCATACAACCCTTATCACAATCCATACATACATCAATTGTGTAAAGCATATTTGTACATTCATTGTCCTCATCATTCTCAAAACATCTGCTCTCCACCCAAGCCCCTGGCATCAGCTCATTTTTCCCCTCCCTCCCCACTCACCCCTCCCTCATGAACCCTTGATAATTTACAAATTATTTTGTCATATCTTGCACTGCACAATGTCTCCCTTCACCCACTTTTCTAGGAGGTCATATGTAGATCCCTTAATCGGTTCCCCTTATAAAGCTCTTTCTTATACAAAGATGTGTGTCCATGAATTTGTTTCTCTAGTCTACCCATACTAACACAAGGAGGAAGCATGAAAGAACTAGAAGAATGTTTTATGTTCTATCGGTGCTATACTTCACCCTGCCTGACTCGTGCCTTCCTTGTAACCCTTCTGTGAGGGGATGTCCCATTGTCTACAGATGGACTTTGGGTCTCAAATCTGCCCACCTCAACACCCCCCTCCCATCATTTGCAAAGACATGATTGTTTGTTCTGGGTCTTCTGATTAATGATCCCATCGACATCTGGTGAGCACACAGGCTGGTGTGCTTCTTCCACTTGAACTTTGTTGCTTCCCAGCTTGATGACTATCTTCAAGTCTTTAAGACTCTAGATCTATATATTTTTATAGCCAGGCACCATAAGCTTTCTTCACCCCATTTGCTTATGCACCCATTTTGTTTTCAGCAATCATGTTGGGAATGTGAACATCACACAATGACAGGCTATTAGAACAAAGTGTTCTTGTGTTGAGGGCGTACTTGAATAGAGGCCCAATGTCCATCTGCCACCTTAATATTTAACATATATTTACAGATTTATGTCCCTACCGTTATATATGTACATTTATAAGGATATGTTTATGTATGTACGTGCCTGTATTTATACCTTTATAAATGTCCTTTGCCTCCTAGTTCTTTCCTCTATTTCCTTTTTACTTTCCTCTTGTCCCACTATCATGTTCAACCTTCATTCGGCTTTCATTAATTGCTCATGTCTATAATTGAAGCCCCTCCAGGCATCCTAAGCTATCCTCGCCATCAATTTTAGATCACTTGTTGTTCCCTATTTAATAGTTTTCTTAACTGGAGTCCTAGAAATGATTTCTAATGAAAGGTAATTTGGTATACCTAAAATGTACTTTTCCACAAAGTATGGAAAATCAGCCATCACCTATAAGATTAATGCTTTGATAGAGAAAAGTGTTAAAAGTTCCAAACAACTGACTTAATAAAATAAAAGGAGACAAAAATGTTAACTATAAGTTTAAAAGTATCTATCAATCGGGTCATAGCCAATGAGGCCTCTGTGTGGGCACGGCCTTCTCCTGAGTATTCTGGGAACTCCTTTATTTCTTCCTAAATCTAGGAAACCCAAGTTCGTGACTTAGTTATCTCACTCAAAAGTCTTGTGATCTTTAGGTCTTAATGTTATTACCCATTTAAAAGACTAAACAAGGCAAATACCTTTAGGGTTTATCTAAGACACACCTTTAGCTGTAAAGGTGTGAACTTTACAAACATAAATGTCTTACTTGTTGGGTATTTGAGAGAAGATTTCAGTCACCCATTTTTCCAAAGTATCCAGAGTTTCTTGGAATAGGAAGAGGTAAGGGAGACAGGGAAATATATCATTATTCAAAGTATGTATATAACATTAGCTTTTTCACAAACCTTCAGCTACAAAGCAAAGGGGTACTTTAACTTGGGAATTTTTTTGCCATTTCTTAATCAGTAATGAGTAACAAGAAAAGCTATAAGCAGATAAGAAATTTTAAGACAAATAACACTTTACTAGCTTCCTTTACTATCCCTTGTAAAGTCAGAAAAAGCACACAGGTAACAACAAAAAGCAACATATTATAAAAAGCTTTTTAGCATTAAACTGAAGGGCTAAGCAATAGAAAGAATATGTCACCATACTCCTGCACCTATTCTAAAACTTCCTTAAGGAAGGCAGCTCCTGACTAACACTATACTGACTGCTCCTCTTCACACGATCTCAGCAGCAATGATACTGTTTTGTTTTACATTAATTTATATTTGTTGATGTCTTTCTCCAGAATTGTTATTAGGTTTCATGTACATGACTCTACCTCCTTTGATTCCTTTCTTGTACTTTCTAAGAAACTATTTTGCAATGTCTGGTGAAACATGAAACCAAAAGGAAAACAAACCACTCACCCCAGAGACTCATTACTATCTCTGGACAGTATCTAGGAAGTTCTACCAGGCACATGAATTTTATTAATTCTCAATAATGAAGAACCAGTGTATAAAATGCAAATTACACTAAAAAAGCAACTTCCAGATTTAATCTATACTATTTATATAGGTATTTGACTCAAATGGCACAATAAATGTTAAAACTCCAAATTCTATTCTATCTAGATTATACAAAGTTCTTTTGTCAAAAATAAAAGAAACACTAATTATGTAAGAAATTACATAATTTCTTAGAAATTAGGAATTAAGTAAGAAACTCTAATAATATCTTGCACTTGTCATCGCAGAGGAAGAAACTGCAAAAGAAATAAAATACCTACTTGAACAGAAATACATGTCCCTAAAATTACTCAGAAACATAATTTTACATTATAAATTAACATTACATAAAGAATATATATTCCTCATTTTAACAAATATTGCAGAAGGGATCTAAAAATACATCCACCACTTGAACACAGTAATCTACCTTCCATATCCACAACTTACTATTCAAGTCAACTCTGGACTCATTTTGATCCTAAATGTAGAACTGTTTTGTCTTTGTCAAGTCAGTTTTTATCTCAATTTTGACAATGTACAGGGAACATATTTATAAAAATGAGAACCACATTGGGAGCAGAGGATTGTTTCTTTTTAAGTGCAAACTATAAAGAAGGTATATAAAAAGGAATTGAAAAAAAAAAAAAAAAGGAATTGTTTAGCAACCAACTGAATTTCAAGAAGTTGAAATGTTAAAAGAAAGTTATCATGACTCCTTTCTAGAAAAAGTCGGCATGATACTGAAGAGAATGATAAAAGACGGCAAAGAGTGGTAGCATTTATCATTTATATTTAAGATACTGTCATCATCAAAATGATTACAGCAATTAGTCATTCTATTTTACTAGGCCTTTGGTAAAGATGAGTAAGTGGTGTCAGGGACAGTTCCAGACGTTAGAGATACAGCTGGGAAGAAGACAAGAAACACTGTCTGGAGTTAGTGTAGGCTATGGGTGGGTTGAAGGGGATATGTAGGGCAAATGTTGTATGGTGTTTATTTGATTCTGGCTCACAGAAACCCTTTGTGACAAAGCAAAAATGCCCCAAATCACACTTGTTTTATTCCAAGGGCCACTACAGATTTACCTTTAGACTGAACCACTAAAGTCATATAATGAGCAGAGTAGTAGCGCATCCAGAATTCTCTTAGTCTAGCATGTGTATCAATATTATTCCGTTTTGGCTCATGTTTGAGAGTCTCAGCATTTCCTGCAAAGAGATTACAGAAATAACTAAGTTCACTTTGTTCAAAGTTATCTACATCAACAATACAAAAAATAACCAAATGAAATAATCCAAATGACTCAACAATATTGATTCAGTGTGTAATATTAATACTCATATTAATACTACCATAAAAGTTTATTGGAGTCAAGAAACAATTCTGAAGTAGTTTTTAAACACATAGGATTAATTCTGGTTGATAATACCTTAATAGCAAACTTAATAACTTAAGCAATCCTTGCTTAATAATTATCTAGTATTCAACTACTATTTATCTGAGTTATTTTAATATTTTTCTTAATTTTTAAAAATTAAAAAAATTAAGAAGCCATAAGAAATGCATGGAATTGCACAAAATGTTATCTAAAAAAAAAAAAGTAGCTGGGGTAGTTACACAATCAGTTGTCAATTTGAGACTATTAAGAGTGAAGAGGTAGAGTTTAGCCTGTCAATCAGGTTGGAGGTGCTAAGGAGATAAATAGCTTGCTGGAGGTGGGACAGAGACACACTCCCTGTGAAACACTCCAGTTGACAAGACACATGGAGCTAAGCAAGAGCCTTGGAGCTGAGGGAGCCACGGGGAGACCTGCACCATCACTGAGAGAGGCTCCTACCACCACTGGATCGACAAGACTTTCGACCCACTGGCCTGTGATCTTTCTTCCTGCATTCAGTGTCATTCCATGTGCTGCGTGAATCTGAAGAAGAGTATGGGCTAATGTCGGATTTATGGACTTGACCTGGACTGGGCTGGGATGTTTTCTTAATGTATAATTTGCTATTTGATATAAAGTTCTCTTTTATACACATGAGTGCCTATGAATTTGTTTCTCTAGTCAACCCAGACTAACACAGTTGCCATCAAGTCAATTTTAACTCAAAGCAATCCTATAGGACAGAGCAGAACTAGCCCATATGATTTCCAAGGCCACAAAATCTTAAGAGAAGTAAACTATCACATCTTTCTCCTGAGTAATGGCTGGTAGGTTCAAATCACCAACATTTTAGTCAAACATTCAGTCAATGTGCCAGCAGGGTTCCTTACAAAATGTCCAGGAAATAAAAATTCCTTTTGAATAAGGTACAATTTAGAAAAATGAATCCAAAACTCTACTCTATGGTTAAGAAGATTATAAAGTGTGTGTGTGTGTGTGTATATATATATATATATTTAATATATATAACTGAATTCTAGGAGCCCTGACAGCAAAATCAGCAGTTTGAGTCTACCAGTGCAATTCCATGGGACAAAGATGAGAGGCTTTGTAACTCCTGTTAAGAATTACAATCTCAGAAACCCACAGGGGCAGTTGTATCCTATCCTGTAAAGTCGCTATGAATCAGAATTGATTCAATGGCAGCTTAAATAATTCTTAAAATAATAAAAAGTCATAATAATAAAGCTATCACTTAAGCAAACAAAAATTAAGTCATAGATCAAAACTATTAGAGAATTCATTGCTACATCTTTGTTGATAAATAAAAATGGTCCATAATCAGAGCATCAGAGGTTTAAATCCCACATTTACCACTTACTATCTGTGTGATTTAAGCAACTTACATAGCTTCTGTAAAACTGTTTATCTCTAGTGCATATAATAATGGAGTCTATTTTTCATAAAGCTGTTGATAATCAAATGAGATAATTAACATTGTGTTAGAATATAGCTGGAGCCTAAAAAGCATTCACCACATCCTAGGTGCTATTCCTGCTATTTAAGAACCCAATGCTAATTGAACCTAATATAGGCAGGCTATCTATTTGAAGATCTATTAGGACTTAAAAACCAGTAATAGGAGTGGGAACCAGAAAGGTAGGGGGAAGGAGGGAGGGGGAAGAGAGAAAGGGGGAACTGATCTCAATGATCGACATAAAACCATACACCCTTCTCCAGGGGGAAGAACAACAGAAAACATGGGGGAAGGGAGATAGTGGTCAGTGTGAGAAATGAAAATAATAATTTATAAACTATCAAGTGGTTGTAAGGGTGGGAAAGTTAAATGTCTAGAAAAGAATGAAGGCAACATATGTACAAACACACTTGATGCAATCGATGTGTGGATTGTAACAAGAGTTGTAAGAGTCCCCAATAAAATGATCTTTTAATAATAATAATAAAAAAGTTAAAACCTAGCTAACCACTTTGCTTTGTTTTTCAATCCTTTAATCAATTTTTTTTAAATTCTCAATCTTCCTAGCTAGAAAACATGACAAAAGGATGATTTATAGAGCATCTTACCCCAAAAAAATTTCCCCATAGGATGTCCAGGTCTAGCAAGACTTCCAAACAACATTTCTTTTCTGTTTGCATCAGAAGGTCGGGCTAGTTGGTATTCTGTCAATTTTAAAGGAACAGTATTAATGAAATGAAATTTAGTATCTGCTTTATTACCTAGAAATTCAAGTTTATAGGACTTAAAGCAAGAAAATAATAAAAGTCAACTTGGTGAAAACTATAAGGCTAAAATGGAGAACTTGATCTAAGTAGCTGACTGTATGTTTTAACATATTATATATCTTTGGGAAAGAAAAGTCACCTTCTAGGGGTTTCCACCTATCTTTCAAATGAAACAAAGAAGTTAATATCTAAAGATGTCAGCTCCAAGATGCTATGTCCAAGACTACATGATAAAAGTGTTAATACCATGTTAAAGCAAATTCCTTATATTGGGAACTTTGTTATAAACTTTGTTAAATTTCCACCAAAGCCAACTATGTTGGTAATAAAATGACAGTTAAAACAAGAGCTTTGCCAAGGTCCCCAGGGAATGCTGAAGGTGGACTTTAGGGCCAGGGCATGGTGCCCCAACAGAGTGGACTGGAAAACACACCTAAAGGCCAGCGATCCTTGATTTAACTACAAGCTTTTCTTTCTTGTGTTTTAATTTGTTCTTTGTCAGTGGTTTGTTGTTGCTGTTTTGTTGTATATTGTTGCTTGGGTTTGCTCTGTCTTGTTTTTGTGCATGTTATTATCTCCACAGGTCTGTCTAAATAAGATAAGCTGGATGAACAATCTGGAGGAGAAAACAACGGGACCGAAAGTTTCTGGGGGGACATGGGAGAGGGGGAGGTGGGGGGAAAGGAAGCGGTGTTAACAAACCCAGGGACAAGGGAACAACAAGTGATCCAAACTGGTAGTGAGGTGGGTGAGGGGGTCCTGGTAGGGAATGATCAAGGGGAATGTAACAAAGAGGAAGTGCTGAAACCCTGGTGGGGACTGAGCATGATAGTGGGACAGGGGGAGAGTGGATTGGAAAGAGGGAACCAATTACAAGGAACTATATGTGACCTCCTCCCTGGGGAACGGACAACAGAAAAGTGGGTGAAGGGAGACATCGGACAGGGAAAGATATGACAAAATAATAAGTTATAAATTATCAAGGGCTCATGAGGGAAGGAGGAGTGGGGAGGGAAGGGAAATGTTTTGAGAATGATGAGGGCAATGAATGTACAAATGTGCTTTACACAATTGATGTATGTATGGATCGTGATAAGAGCTGTATGAGCCCCTAATAAAATGATTTTTTTAAAAAACAAGAGCTTTGCAGCTGTGAAAATTTTGGCAGTTCCTCAAAAAGCTAAACACAGAACTGCCACATGACCCAGCAATTCCCCTCTTGGGCAAGTATTACCTAAAAGAATTTAAAACAGTAATGCAAATAGACATAGATACAATAATGTATATTGCAGCACTAATCACAAAGCCAAAGGGGCTAACAACCCAAGGTTCCAATAACAGATAAATGAATAAGCAAACTACAGTACACATATACAATGAAATACTATACAGCCCATCAAAAAATGGAGTTTAGTTCTGATATATTACAACATGAATGAATCTTAAAGACATATGAAACAAATTGTACCAGGCACAAAAGGACAAATATCGTATGATTCTTATGTAAAATGTCCAGTATATCAGAGGTTACCAAAGACTAAGGAATGAACTGGGTTACTACTTAAAGGTTACAGAATTCCTTTTGATGAATAAAAAAATTCTTAAAATCAGTAGTGATTGATACACAACATTGTGTAAAGGTAAAAAGGTATTGCTACTGAGGATCTAGTTCATGCATATATGGGTTTTTTCCAAACAAAGCAATCAGTGAATGGGTATAGACAAGTTCTCCCAGTAATATACTTAAGGTGCCTTCCAACAACAACAAAAAAATGGCGGCTTCCAAAGGGATTTACTAAACGAGTTAATGTCAAAGCAAGAGGTCAGCTCACAAAGTTATGGCCATTATTTTTCTTTAAGAAAGCATAGTCCTTGACTTCAAGGAACGAGTAGTTAGGAAAAGTCTAAAATCACCTTATTGCCTTTAACAAATACATTTACAATAAATTGAGGACCAAAGATGGTGACATTTTTCTAAGTACAACACAGCTCTGTTGAATTCCAGCTGCTCTTTCTAGCTATCGATAACTTAGTGAATATAAATACATCATTATTAGTAAGAGGCAATTGATCCAGTCAAGAAGAAAAACAGTACAAAAGGAGGAATAAACACAAGTATTTTGTCTCGATTTGCTGAATGCCAAAAGCCTGCTCTAAATAAAATGAAATCCCCACGATCATCACATATAGTATTGCATGTATCTAATATTAAAATAAGGCAAACCAGGTCAACCTACAGTAATATTACATATTGGGATTCTCTAATTAGAGAATATTAGTAATATAGCTCCAAATGAAGCCTCACCCTATAATGTACTCCATTTCCCTTATGATCTTCATTCTTTCTATTCCAAAGAAAAAGGAAACAGCCACAAAATAAGATTAAATGTATTTTCTGGTCAGGTGTTTAGTTTCTTTTCTTTTCTTTTTTAAAGCATCTTATTAAGAGTTCTTATAGGTATTACAACAGTTCATAATTCAATTAGATCAAGCATAATTGTACAATTGCTACCATTATCAGTTTCAAAACATGTTCTTTCTTCTTGAACTCTTTGATATTAGCTTCCCTTTATCCCCACCCCTCTCACCCTCACCCTAGCCCCCGCC